AACATAGAGTGGCAACTTGGTGAACCCAATCGCTCGCAATCGGGACGGGTCTGTATACTACGGAGTAATGCATATCAAAGAGGGCAAAGTTAATCTGCATCCAATAAGTAACCTTGTAGAGATATTTCCGGATGTGGTCGATGCTTAGGCTCCCGTCGCGCTCCTGGCGGCTCACGCGAACACCATCCCTTTGCGGCCGTGAGCACAGTTCGTCATTTTTCGTTTTGATAATTCGGCTCGTCCGGTGAGGTTGGCGGGCGCATGTCATGCCACTCCAGTAGATCGCAGGACGTTCCTGAAAACTCTGAAGGTGGGATGCTGACGTGCGGTTGGCGGCTGTGTTGAGACCTGCATCACCTGGCATTCCCGAACCACGCAGGTGGGACCCCGCCTGCATAAGATGGCGTCAATCGGTTTTGTGATTCGGTCCTGTACACAGTGCAACTGGATTCAGCTAGCAGGAGGCTCTGCTTTCCCCATCCGAGCGTGTGCCTAGTCTTCGGTTCCTGGCGGCTCGCAGCAGTCTGCAGTAGCTGGCGATGGAGTGATGGCCGAGATTGCAAATGCGACTAGCTAACTACTACATGCCCGCAAGTGTTGTAGATGCGGCATAAAATTGAGTGCACATGTTGTTATGCTAGGCCGCGCAGCCAGGAAGGCCAGTCCTCGAGGCACGATAGAGTTCGAAGCTTTCGCGGCACCTGATAGGCAGTGGGTCGTTAGGGACCAGCTGAACCGGCAAATCGCCGCTTCGGTCCCAAAGAATACCTAGAGTCATTGCGTCGCCAGCTCCGAGCATAATAACGACAGCCGCGCAGTGCGCGGTTATGATGATAATGGCCGTCCATCTCCAGCCGGATCAGGGCGATAAAGTGGAACCGTTGGGAAAAGGTGGGGTTAGGGCGTGCGCCATGCACGCAAGCCAGAGAATCAAACGCTCTATAGATCGACGAACTTCGGTTCATACGTTTCATATACAAACACGTCGGTTATGTACACTGGTCGAGAACACGTTCTTTGCGCTCTATTCCGCGAACACGAGATAACATATGGGTCGACGTTGTGGTTGTACGCGTCAAAGTTCCCCGCCGCAGTTGCCGCCATCTGGTTGTGGCGTTTTGTCGAACCATGAGCATATGCAGGATTCGTGGCCGGGACGGCACTGCATAATAGACCAGGACATCTGCGAGTCTCACGCATCTGCACACATTCATAACGTCTCAACGAACCCTCTTCTGCGAAAACGAACGAAAGACACTCCGCATCGGGGTAACCTCCGGCGTGCTGCAGCAACGGTTAGCCACATCCGCATCGCTATACCTATCCGTCCATGATGGTCAGCACGGAGACATGGACGGATAGTTGTGCTTCGGCTCTGCTCCTAGACCCATACGAATTGGAGAATCAGTCGACATTCTGGGCAGAACGAGGCCAATGTCGTCGAGCCACGAGTCCGGCACCCAGGTCATGAACGGTGAGAAGGGTCGCAGAGCATGGTAGTCAAGAACCGGTAACTTTCGGTATGCCGATGTCGCATACGAAGATGTGCGAACGGACCGACGCCGAGACAGTATATCACTGGATCATGACTGGCTGCGGCATTTTATCAAACGTTGTATGCATGGAACGCCCCGGTGATGCGATACACAAACAGAGGTTGAGAGGAGAGATCGGAGACATCTGATTCGAAGCGTACTGACGTCTCCACCGTTGACGTGGAAGACGCCAGTACCTGGACGATCTCAGAGTCTCGAAACGTCTCTCCGGCCAAAGGTCAGGCCGTTGACGTGGTCGAGATCAAAGTATCCAACCTGATCGGAGACGGAGTGGATGCATATAACCTGGAACTGACCCCAATCAACGTTGAAGCGCCGAGACGTGCATACTTTTGTCTTGGCTTGGGTCACTATGCCTAAATGTTTCCCACAACCGAGTCACCAGGGATAAAGCCGGCATGTCAGCAACGGAAAGCAAGCTAAACCCTGGCATATTTCGACCACTAGATTGAACATCCATAAATCTCCGCAGATATGATGGTATTCCGACGAGCGCCTGGAGTCGTCGAGGGTCCAGTTCGCGGCCGCATGTGGAGACTACCGCAATGGGTTTCATTGAAATCCATTGCAATGGTCATACCTATCATATCTCTACCTTTTCCACCCATCCAGCTCGCTGATAACACATTTACAACAATATTGTTTCTTTGATGCGCCCGCGATGCAACCTGTGAGTAGACCTGCAAGACTAGAAGCCGAAAGGGAAAATGCGAGAGCAAGGCGCGTCGGCACTTGCAGACTTCACCGATGAGAAGGCTTGGAAAGGGTCGCTACGAACCGCCGTCATGACGCGCAGGATTTGACCGGTGCGGGAAGATCGCGTAGAGGGAGATAGACCTGGGGTAGAAGGCCTAGAGCTGACTGCAGAAGTTGCTTTTCGCGGTCTTCTCCGTTTCAGCTTCGTCGGCAAACGCGGACACGAGGTGCATTCGGACTGCAGGGCGTATGTGTATACATGTACGTACGGCATAGCGCCGATCATGTATAACGTTTACTGACGATAGTCGTTGACCAAGCCCCGTCATAGCATTGCCGCTAAACGCGGAATTAGGATAAAATCCGACTGCTTGGTATATGCAAAGGTGTGACCAGTCAAGGCCGTCGGCCGAAGTATGATGATGTTTCACGGAAAGCCTTGTTCAAAATCGCTATGGCGTGCTAAGCAGAACAGCCAGGAAATCCCAATTGCAGTCTGCGGAGACCGTCATGTTATTGGCCACGCAGTGGCAAAGTATGCCTGGATTGCAGGATCTGTCTGCGAAACCAGGAGCCTTCAGTGCTGTGATTCAACACGTAATTGTGATTGGAGACGAGCCTTACCCAAGCTCAAATCGATGTGCTAGGTGCGAAAACCCAGCACAACATCTCTCGAGCGGCTCTATGAAAGAAGCTCTTGGACATGGTTCGGGGCTCCAGTGGTGGGGTCTATCATCCCAAGAGTGCCTCTCAAGTCGGCGGGCACTGATCCAGAGGGATCTGTTGGTTTAGTGGGCTTCACTCTCGTAATTGTGCCGGCCATCCAGCCTAGACTGCAAGAGACAATATGTCACCGCTATACCTTGTCGATCCCGAAGGATCTAATTCAGTAATCACTGGCCAATAACGTTGATACGGACACCTCAGGACAACGGTCGCGCGTCCCGCCTATTTGCTCAGAATAGCTCGCTACTGGGAAAAAGAAAATCGCACGACCAAAATTGCCGACTGGATACGGACGAACATTGAAGCTGATCGGTATGTGAACAGCAAGCTAGTCTAGCGTATCTTCTGTGTAACGAGGTCGAGGTACGAGTGCGAGAGTGCGGGAAGACGCTGGATAGGAGTGTCGTGCTGGGGGTCATACTCCGGCAATAGAGAGACGCAGCCAACGGCAAGACCAATCCGTACATTGGCTCACAGCAAGACCCGTTACGCTGCTGTCCGTACCACGAGGTTGTAACGTATGGTTGGTTGTCTAGGAAGAGACAAATATCGTACAGACGCCACATTTCCGTCCACCTCAACAGGATCGATGGAGGATGCGTTAGCTGAGATTTTTGTCTCAACGATTGGAGCATGACGCGCCATGAACTTTGATTCCGCGGAAAACGCGGGTTTTGAGTTCCCAGTGTTCGGTTACGATGGGAACGAGTGATGCTGATCGAGGTGCCCAAGCATACAGGACAGGAATCTGATCAACCAGGTGGGTAACCCTTGTGGATGCCCTAGCTGGAAGTTTCAAGCATGACGTGCGAGGCACCAGTGATCAATCGTGCGGAAGGCGCGGTTGTGAAGTTCAAACAGTTCAGTTGTGACCTGGAAGGAACGAGACCGCTCAATGTGCTCGCTGGAGGATGCGACCGCTGGAAATCTCCAGCCTGAATATCACGAGATGAGGGCCATCGACGTGATCTCGCGAAGAATGCGGGTCGTGAGAGTAAAGTGATTGTCACGTTACGCAGTGATGAGCGAGCACCGCCGTGTTTCCAAGCATGCATGATGAAAGCACGAATAAGCGACCTACGAAAGACGCGTTCTCCAGAAGACTCACACCGGATGTGATAGGTGCTTTCGTGATAGGGGCGCGGGGCACGGGCATCACACGATGTTCGTTGTGGTGTGGGTGATAGTATAGTAGTAGAGCGCTTAGAAGGGTGACGGGTTGATATTATACCGAGAGTCAATAGCAGATGCATTCAACCAATGGCGCTGGCGCGTTTGCAGGAGAGTGTAAAGCATGACGTGATGACTGTTGTTTGTCCAACTGTACAGAAGACGTGGGTCTTCCGATCGAACAGTTCGGCCATGATCAGAAGGAGCGATGTCATTCGAGACGCCCAAGCATGCATGAGGAAAGCACGGCAGAAGGATTTCATCGAGGATGTGTCTGCTGCTTGACTATGCCGTGTCACAGTACTTTTGCATCCGTCGTGCGGAAGACGCGCTTCTGAAGCTCAAACATCGATCCACGGTCGAGAGGAACGACATCATTCAGTTTCCAAAAACGTCCAAGGCAAGTGCAATTGTTGCAGGCGCGGCACGCATTTGCAGCCCATCTAATCATGGCTGAAACTACGCAAGGAATGGTATCACATTAGTCGTGAAAAGAGAAACCACGACATCGACGACCACCAACATGATATTAGAATGTTTAATTACTACTTCCTACATGAAAGGACCAAAAAAGATCGGGGGAATAAGTTATCGAAAAAGGAGCTAAGAAAACATACGAGAAGCTTCAGTGTCATGTCTAGACAGTATTGTAGCCACGTAAGTGTGATCCAAGACTGTCGGTTAAAGGTTGGAAAGGCCCCCAGATAAGAAGAAATTGAAGCCCGCGCGGCATCCGACCATGTTCCTTCCGTGTCGGCGTTGCACAAGCCACCTATTACAAACGCCCGCAACTGTGGTGTATGATGACCAGTACACTCTTTGACGACAAAGCTAGAGGTGCGTCAACATGGCCTAAGCCTCGTCTGCGTCGTGGTCTTGCAGTTGGCCGCTTTGTTCCCTGTTCATGCGGGCCTCGATCTCCTTGAGCTGGCTCTCGCGAGCCAAGAGTTCCTGCCGCTTCTCGTTGATCTCGCGCTGGACCTTGACTTCGATCTCGCGCAGCTTCTCCTCTTCACGTCGCAGTTGCTCTTCCTTCAAGCGCACTGACTGGCTGGCGAGATCCTCGGGGTTCATCGATGAGTCACTGTAGAGTGTTAGTATCCATGTCAGAACAGAGCAGACGCCAGACTTACGCAGCAGCACCACCTTCGACACTCTTACTAAGCTTCTCGGTACGGTAGTTCTCGTATAGGAAGTCATGCGTAATCTCCTTGAGATCGGCAAGATGGCTGTGGAGAAGGGCACTTCGAACGGCGAGGAAGTCGGAGTGGCGGGGGTTATCCACCTCAACGATACCCCAGGGGTATTGACGTGCCCGTACCCGTCGGCCGTTGATCTCAACAATGTCTTCGGATCCAACAATGGCGAACGGCATCAGGCCGCGAAGCTCGGCGTTCTCCTCGACCGTGTCCTCGTCGTCCTCCTCAATGTCGTAGGGGAAGTTGTACACGGGAATGCGGTAGTGCTCAATGTCCTCCATGACCAGCTTCTTCGACTCTGCCAGCTCGGCGGGTGTGAGGGAGTCGGCCTTTCCGATGACAGGGATGACGTTGCAGCGGGGCGACAGACGCTTCATGAGCTCAATGTCGAGTTCACGGAGACTAGCTGTTGTTAGCGGAAGCTGATTGAGCGGTGTGACACACATACCCATGGCCTGTGGGTGTGATGAAGTAGAGCAGGACGTGTACACGGTCGTCACGGAATCGGGGGTTACGCTTAATACGCGATTCCTCTGCGAGAATGCCATCGTACTGTCGCTCGAGGTATCCAACGATCTCTGAGAAGCTGCGGGGTGGTGAGCGGGTGTGTCAACAAAGCTTGCAGAAGATGCCTACCTGGCCTCGTTGTCGATCTGATCTCCGAAACCGGGTGTGTCAACGATGGTGAGCGAGATGCGGGTGCCTTCCTCGTCGAGTTCTGATGTTTGTTAGCAGCCGACGCGACGACGCCATGGCCATCAATGCCACGTACCGACTGTGATGGGCTTGATCTTGACGCCCTCCTCGACGTGTGCGGTTGTTGGGTCGTCGACCTCCTTATGTCCGAGCACTTGCTTGCCGCAAAGGGTGTTGACGAAGGTTGTCCGGCCAGTACCAGAGGCACCACAGACCATCAAGCAGAACTGGATACCCTTCTTGACATTCTTCTTTCTGCGCGTCTTGTTAAGCGCCTGTGACATTGTTAGCCGTCGTGGTCAATGGGAAGTGTGGCTGTGGTGGGTAGGGCGGCATCGTGTGCCTGAGGGAGACGTGGTATCGGGGAGCGTCGTACCGAAGACATGATGAACTCGGGGTTGGGGAATGTGCTGGGTGGTGGTGGTGGTGGTGGAGGCGGCGAGCAGACGCAATTGAAACAGCCAGGCGTGGAGGCGAGACTGCTTGGAGGTGAGACGGGGGCGTATGTCTGTGGTGTTGTGTTGGAGCGGTGTCGTCGTGGAAATTTGGGGACGTTGGCAGCTACTCCCTGCGCGATGCAAAGGGGCTCGCTAGCGTACAACCCCCCGGTCGTACCTCCTTCTTGGCGCGACCACCTGGCGCGTCTGCTTTTGGCAAGATATACAACGAGTAGTCGACTCAGTCACCATTACACGCTCAACCACGAGAGGCCAGATTTCTTTGCCTGGGCTTGGTTCAGGTACCATGTAGTAGTAATCGAACACGATTAGGCAGTTGCGCTGCCGCTGGTACTTCGCGGGGTATCCCTCTCAGGGTCCACCAGGATCCTTGGAATCGTGTGATGAATAATTTTGGATTCACTCCCCTAGATGTGCACATGATTCTTGAGGCAATCAATCGGTGTCCGTAGCTCATCAAAATTGATGCTGCCCAAAAGCATCGTTGGATATCTATCTCAGGCCCGGAAAACCACGCTAGTCACAAGTGGAAAAGCTCCCGCAGCTCCAGTGCCAAGCACCCGCGCCTGTAGGCGGATGACATGGTAAATGACCTAGCTTGGGGAGCTGTGGACCCTCGATATCTCTCCCAGACCAACCTTCTCGCTGCTCCTCACTATTCTCTCCTCTGCCTCAGTCGCTGCTGAGAAAATGGGTCTGCCACACTTTTGGACCCCGCGATAGCGCCTTTCGCATCGTTTGCTGGCCACATCACCGTCGCAGTCTCCCCGGCCCAACACTCCACCCAACTCCGCACTCCAACTCAAGACGCCCCACTTGCGCATCGCAGTGGTTGAAACATATCTACAAACATCTCATTTCTCTGCTGCGCCCAACATGAATACTCGACCTATTCTAGACTCGGACACAGGGCCCTTTGTCCTCTCGGCATCCTTCAACGCCGACTGCTCTCACTTCTCGGTGGCTTTGGAGACGGGATTCCGCGTATTCTCCTCCACAACATGCGAGGAGAAGATCGCCAGAGGTATTGACGACGCGCAGACAAGGACTGCCCTAGCAACTGCAGCATGCTAACATGGCCGTAGAAGTCGGCGGCGGCATCGGCTGCGCAGAGATGCTCGGCAACAAGAGTTACATTGCCTTGGTCGGAGGAGGGAAGCAGCCCAAGTACCCTCAGAACAAGGTTAGCTTTCCTGGCGACTCCGACTGGCTTCTTGTCAACGACACTGACATCATCTACGAGGTCCAAATCTGGAACGACAAGACAGAACGCTTCACAACGTCGGTCGAATTCAAGACGCCGGTCCAGCGCGTGCGCCTCAGCCAGACACACATGATTGTCGCCTTGCTGAACTCGATATGCATATACAAGATGAAAGTACCGCTAGCCAAAACCGCGGAATACGAGACAGTCAACAACCCGTTCGGGCTGTGTGAGCTAGGCACGGATATTGTCGCATTCCCTGGTAGAGCGGCAGGCCAAGTCAAGATCTACGATCTGAACACGGGCAACGTCAGTATCATCCCGGCCCACGAAAGCCCCTTGCGCGCAATCGGGATAAGCAGGGCGGGGGATCTTATTGCTACGGCTAGTGAGCAGGGCACGCTGATACGCCTGTGGTCCTTTCCCTCGTGCACAAAGCTCGCTGAGCTGCGCCGCGGCGTCGACCCCGCTGCCATCTTCTCCCTCGCCTTCTCGCCCGACGGCTCGACCCTTGCCGTCACATCCGATAAATCGACACTCCATATCTACGACCTCGTCACCGCAACAACAGCCGCTGCAAACGCCGATCCCAGTCAGCATAAATACGGCATCCTATCCAAAATCCCTTTGCTACCCCGCCAGTTCTCCGATACGTACCCGACTGCGACTGCCAAGTTCGAAATGGGCGATGAACCGACTGCTTGGGGGCCGCATGGTAGGTCTGCAACACTTAGTGCTGGGATACCCGGTGTGCCTGGGGGGCGTCCAACAAAAGGCCTCATTGGGTGGTTGAACGACGAGACTATTCTTGTTATCGGTGCTGGGCAGGATGCACGGTGGGAGAGGTTCCATGTGGGTCCTGATGATAAAGGCAAGAAGTGTGTTGTCACGAATGGGTGGAGAAGGTATATCGATTAGGGATGTCTTGGAGTATGCATTGGCGGACCGAGATGGTGGAGGATTGCGTAGCGAGTGGAATCTTGTTTTGGCTGGGATCTGGCGTTTGAGTTTGTTGGGTATGAGAGGTGTTTTGGTTGCATTCGCTTTGGCGTTCAGATACCCAATGTTATTTTTGACAATCCACTGTTTTGTACCGTCGTGTTTGGTTGTCAGCTTGGCCGCCTGAATAGTCATGGCTATTCTCATTCATAATCGGCATGCCTCTGCTCTGCGTCTTCGGTATCCATAGGACGTAACATAAAGACCACGAAGCGACAACTGGTGATTGAGGATATACCGAACCCCAGCTACCTCCTCGCCGCCTACAGCAACTCTTCCCGCCATTGCGTACTGTTCGCGTCAGTTCGATATTCCACGCACACTCCATGTAAGAAACGTATCCAACTCCGTATACTAGTTTCCTACATGACAGTTTTACCTCGATATACGCAGCACGTCCATGACACTGTACACAAGACTTTCATCACACTCTATACAAGGCCACTGCCCACTTGCTACAGTCATCAACATGCACAACGTGTGACAACCATACAATTCCTTCGTTTACACTCAACATTCTCATTACGCTCTTTAACTTGTTACCTTTTTTTTTGGTCGGCTCGTCCCATGTCCACCTTTGCTTTGCCACATTCCACATTCCACGCACTGCTAAACCTCATTTGCTCAAAATTTAAAAAACACAATTCATATCTGTATATGTATATGTAGATATCCTCTTTACTCCCAGAATCCATCCAACGTTATCAAACATTTGTAGAAACAACGTACTAATTCGAGTTCAACCAGCGACGTTTTACTGACTGCATGACTAACTAGCAAAGACTTTCTGGAAAACGCCCTTCCATGTTCGTTACTCGGTATAACAGTTTCCGTTTTTTTCCCCATCTTCTCCTGAGAGATTTCGTGAGGATGACAGCCCAATCCCAAGTCGAATTTGAAGAGAAAGAGAGAGACACACACAAAGAGCAGAGTGGGTCGAAGAAGCGAATAAAGTCAAAAGCCCAATTGTGCACATTGAGTGCACGACAAGAGTAAAAGTGAATGGAGACGCAGGAGGGGGAGAACAGTAAAGAAGGTAGAAGTAAGAAGTGAGCACATGAATCCTCCATATCATTCCTCTCTCTCTCTTTCTCTCTCTCCCTCCCCCTCTCCCTGTCCAGCACAGAACTGAAAGTTACAATAAGGTCGAACAATGGGAATGAAAGAGTACAAAAGTTGAAACAAAAGATTTGAAATTAACTTCTTTCTCTCTCTCTCTCTCTCTCTCTGATGTGTAAACCATTTTAAAAGGACGAACAATTCAAACAATTCAAACAAAACAAAAAGACAAGGTGTGGGGAGAAATGAAGAAACAAAAAAAAAACTTTGGGGTATCGTGCAAAGAAAGGTTATAGCCACAGAACAACCCCGTGCAGCGCGAACTTTCAGTTACACGGTTTTCAACACATAATCCAAAACCATAAAACCCCCTCATCTTCTTCCCATCCTCCTCAGATGGCCCTCTCTTTTCGCTCCCCCCTGAGTAGGCTACAGGCAAGACGGCGAAGCCAGTAGGATGGAGATTTCTCTCTCTCCCTCTCTGCCTCCCTTTCCTCGGAAACGTAGTGGTGTGCAACACATCAAAGTGTGTCAAGATGGAAAGGATTGAATGTAGAACAAATCGAAAAGAAAAAAAAGGAAAATGTGTCGTGGCGGGGTCATCAAAATCAGGCAAGGAACAAAGAGAAAACCAGTCCCTCTTTATTCCAACGAAAGGAAGAAAAGCCTCTTCTTTGTTTATAACAAGATGAGGTAATTGCTAGGCGCAATACCCGTCTCTCCATTCGGCTTCTTAGCCTGCCACCACCGCCCACTAACATCCGACACTTCCAGAATATCATGTTTCTGAAAGCTGATTTCATTCGCATCATCTGGGTTGGCCTCGTAGCTGTAAATCGCCTTGGCGCGGTACGGGTACTCAATCGACTGTTCCTGATTCATCGTTTCGTCATTGGTAGGCGTCATGGTGCTCATATTTCCGTTACCACCGCCCAGGCTCATGCCACCGCCAAACTGCGGAGCTGACGAATTCCTTCCATTGGCACCTGCAGGACCGCCTGGGTAACCCGATACGGGCGACGAGGTTTCGAAGCCGTTGAGTTGGGCCGATGTGTACATCTGCGGGGGTATGTTTGCGGATTGGGTTTCTGGGCGGTTGGTGTAGCCGTTGGAGATGGGGCGGGAGGAGCGGGAGCCTGGGTGTTCTTTGTGCAGGGCGTACGAGTCGACAAAGGTGCGGTGGCTGGCTTGGGGCTGTGAGCCGTAGTAGAAGATCCATACAATCTGGGGCACGTGTGTTAGCTTGCATGTTCGTGCGTGGGTGGTAGGGGAAGCTTACGGCGATCATGGAAAGGAGGATGTAACCGGCTGCTGCGGCTTCAAAGGGAGCGACGGGGGAGTAGACGAGCGAGTTTACAGAGGACGTGGTGAAGACGAGGCCGGCGGCAAGGAAGCCTACAATCTGTCGGTAAATCAGCAAGGGACATCTTCGTGCTCAGTTGTTGTTGTTGCATACCGCGACATGGTACGTCCTCTCAGCATCCGAGGCAACTGTGACCGTAACGCCCGCAATGCAGAAGAACATGAAGACCAGTGTCCACCACGCAAAGTTGGGGAAGCCACCGTGAATAGCAGATATTATAGAGCTGACAAAAGCGATAATCCAGGCGAGCTGTTCATGGCCAAACGTTAGTTATATGCCGCGTAAACCCGGGAGCACACTCAATACTCACAATACCAATAGATATGGTGGCCAGCGCAAAGGGATCTCCAATAATGCGACCCAGGCTGAAGCCCGACGATCTCTGGCCGTAGCCTCCGTTTTCCATTTTGCGTAGTGAAGGAGTTTCGCCCAGCGAGCCGTAAGCGGGCATATGTTGGTTCCGTCGATCGGTCGTCGGCGGCGGCGGCGGCGACGAGGGGTTCAAAGGGGCGCGACGATTAGACTATACTGTCGCGGGCAGATGATTGTAAAAGAGAAAGAGCGTGTTGGTGAAGCGAATCCGGTATTATGGTGTGAAGAGGACGCAACGCAGACGGGCAATTCAAAGAGTGTGTGTGGTGTAGATGCGCGCTGTTGGGTGGACGGGCGAGGGCAAGTATATCGGCGCGGCGGCTCGGTCGTTGGTAATGTGCAGAGAGCGAACGGGTGCACAGGGCGCAAGGCAGAGTAAGCGGGAGGGCGGGCGGGCGTCCAGTGACCAGCAGTATTGAGTGGGCGCGCTTGGAAATGCAACGTGGACGGGCGGCTGCGAAAGGCGTAGGCGGTTGTTGTTGCAGCAAGGCTGTGGGTTGTGTTGGAGAGAAGGGTTTGGAGACGACGAGGGCGTGTGGGAAAGGGAAAGACGAGAGATGCGACGGTTTCAAGTTGGGTTCCCAGTGGTTCTCGATTGGCCGCGCTGAATGGCTAAGGATACGGGGATTGCTGCGGGTCCCGCTGAGATTAAAATGGCACCGCGCCCGTCAGCCAAAGGTCTGGACAGGAACACGCGCGTCTAGTGCATTAGGCCCTTTGCAACATGGCCGTCGAGCCGCCGATAGCCACTGCACGCACACAAACGAGATGGCTCCGTTGCACAGCGCATTGGGACACTTTTCAACGACTATATCCCCTTGACTTCACGTCGAACTATTCTGTTACTACCACTCTTCAATCCACTTCCGGCCAAGAACGTGGCGCAGTCTAGCCACAGACGTCGTTTGAAGGGATCCCTAGAATACGACAGTCGACGCCTCATCATGCATAATCGAGTCACTAGAGAACACCTCGTTCACTCCCTTACTGCGCAGTCGACACCGGACATTCCCCGCCCAACCAAAAAAAAATGTGGCACTTTAACATGGCACTTGAGCATTCAAATGAGCTGTCAGCCGATTATATCAGGCTAATCAATCTAGTCGCACCCTGCGTCGTCCCTTACGCATGCTATCCACGTTTCCCAACCCCATCACCTATTCCATGGTTGTTAGTGACACGTGCGCCTCATTTGCGTGGCGCATGCAGTAGTTCCGCCTTTCCTTCCCATCACTTCCGCACGAGATTGTGCATACCGGGGCCCTGCTCGGCGCTATTACGGGGAACCCTTGTAACCTGCCACGCTGCTGCTGATGCGAGACGACGATGAAACACGGCACTGAGCCCTCCGCACCCGTCACTCTGCAGCAACGACATCACTTTACATCATGGCGAGAGTCGGACTGTGGCGCTTGCAAAGTTAGTTGCTGTTTGAACTATCTGATTCTGCTACGTCCGTGAAATGTGACATGGCGAACTGTTTCTGCATGTCCGTTGCAGAAGAGGCCAATGGCGTGGCCGTATCAGTGTCCCTCTGTCCATACTTTGTCGTCATGTGTGGATTTTTGTTTTACCAACATGTCACTTTAGTAATCCGGGTACTTGCTTGGTCCGAAGCCAGCAAGTCTTTTTCCACACTGTAACGGTTGAGACCCCGGATCGCTGCAACGATTGTGACGCAGGCCACACCACATACGCGCACACACACCCTCGGTGCTGATCCGGTTCACTTGCTATGCCCAGAACTCGTGTCTCTTCCCAGGTATATTGTCAAATGTATTCGGGGCAAGATGCAGTCACCGGGTGTGGCTGCCACGTTGCCACGCTGCGACAAAGGTAATCCATGGTAACAGTGAAGCACCTGCATGCCTGGCATCTGTCAGCAGCGCCTCAGCCACGCCATGAAACCATCTGACGTCTGTATTTGCAGTAACGCATGAATGGCGACTTACCCTTTGAACGCTATGCGGATGAAAGAAAAATATCGTGTGTAGGGTCTTCGTCTCAGACTGGTACTACTTTGCCGACAGTCGGATGCTCATGACGCCGGCTGCCCGACTGCAGCTTTTCTGGATCGACGGGACTGTGTGCAGAGAGAGTGTATGTGTGTGTGCTCAAGGTGCTGACACGCCTCACAGCTCGTCATCCGAGTACTCAGACTTGGACTCGTCGCCCTCTCCTTCCCCTTCTAGTTCTTCTTCTTCTTCTTCATCCCTTTCCATTCCCCTCCCCTCCTCCGTGTCCTCCCTCCGTCTGTACTCCTCCCTAACGAGCGCTCTCAACCCCTTGGTAAGCCTCTCGTTGTAGTCGACCCAGCACCTCCCCGCGCCAAGGAACATGACATGCCTATATCTCTGATTCAGTAGCCCGTTCCGTCTTCGCAGCTCGGATATTTTGAGTGCTTGCTGTAGCTGGCGGTCTTCTGCCTCAGCAATGCGGGGCCGCAGGACAGCTAGCTTGGCGAAGCCGTCGGTGGAAGGGACTTGTTGGTCGGCGAGGGCTTGGAGTTGCGAGGCGGTTTGGGAGATGGCGGGGGCGCGTTCGAGGACCAGGGCTGCGCGCTGGTTGGTGTCGAGTGCGGGGCCGTCTGCATCGTCGTCGTTTTCGGGGGTGGAGTCGTGGTTGTGGAGAGCGGGTGTAAGGACATCTTTGTGCTTGCTCACTTGGTCTTGTTAGTCCCGAATAGCAAAGGTATCCGGGCGAGCACACGTACGCAGGTTGTTCGTTTCGTCGAGCAATGCGGTCTTGCCGGCGAGCTGCTGCAGCGACTGCTCCATCTTGTGTATGCGGTCTGGAATTGTCTTCGCCTTGTCCTTGGTGCTGTCTTGGGAATCACCCAGAATATATTCCAGGCGATCTAATCGCGTCTCGAGGAGCGCAAACGTGAAGAGGACAGCCTCCTCGTATTCGTCCATTGTGCCGTCGTGGTCCCTGGTGTGTATTGTGTATCTCGGAATGGTATTCGGAGTTCACGTGGTTCGCGCGTACCTGCCGTGAGAGTGTCGGGATCACGGATGTTAATTTTAGCGGCCGCTGATAAGGCAAAAGCCCCCGGATTATTGGCGCCATGCGACCACCAGACAGACGTCAGCGGACTCGAAACCTCTCTTTTCACCGTCTGGGAGCTTATCGCAGCCATCTGACTGCTTACACTCGCTTTCTATCCTTCGTCGCAGCGTCCCAGGAGCCCCGCCAGCCTGTGACGGATGAACGCGCAATAACACGAGCCTAACTGCGCATTTCGCATCGCACCTCAGAGTATGGCTTCCTACTCCGCCATCGGGCCCGAGCCCACAGAGGCCGATCCTATGACTTCGAGTACGGGGTCGCTCCGAGGCAGACGGTGAGATACGTCCGTGTAGTCCTTATCGCACAGAAGCTGATGGCAGTAGGAGAGGTCGAGGAAAGCAAGACGTTGGATTCAAAGGCCAGGCGACATGGATATCAAGTGTCATCAATCTGGCCAACACCAGTACGCCTCTACCACACCAGTCCACAACAGCACGCTTACTGACCATGTGCAGTTCTCGGTGCCGGCCTCCTTGCCATGCCCTCTGCGCTCTCCAAAATGGGCATCTTCCTCGGCATCTTCGTCATCGCGTGGGCGGGTACAACAGCAGGCTTCGGTCTCTACCTCCAGACGCGATGCGCGCGGTACATTGACCGGGGCCATGTGTCCTTTGCGACACTGTCGCAGATGACATATCCGAACCTGTCCATCATCTTTGACGCTGCGATTGCGATCAAGTGCTTCGGCGTGGCTGTCAGCTACCTTATCATCATCGGAGATCTGATGCCGGGCGTTGTTCGAGGATTCGCGCCGGGTGCGAGCGACATCACGTTTCTAGTTGACAGGCAGTTCTGGATTACGGCCTTCATGTAGGTCGTCCGCTCTCAAGCTCAAGTAATGTACTAACGGCAACAGGCTCATTGTTATCCCCCTCTCCTTCCTCCGCCGCCTCGACTCCCTCAAGTACACCAGCGTCATCGCCCTCTTCTCCATCGCCTACCTTGTCATTCTAGTCGTAGCACATTTCCTCAAAGGCGACACCCTCGCCGACCGAGGTACCGTCCGAGTCTTCGAATGGGCGGGCCCCGTCTCTGCCCTCGCCGCCTTCCCCGTCATCGTCTTCGCGTACACATGCCACCAGAACATGTTCTCCATCCTCAACGAAATAGCCGACAACTCGCACTTCCAGACCACGACCGTCATCTTCGCGTCCATTGGCGGCGCATGCGGTCTTTACATCCTAACGGGAATCACAGGTTATCTATCCTATGGCGACAACATTCACGGCAACATTGTCTCCATGTACCCAACTGCAGCAGCTAGCACCATTGGCCGCCTCGCCATCGTCATCCTCGTCATGTTCTCGTACCCCCTCCAAATCCACCCTTGTCGCGCCAGCATCGACGCATGTCTAAAGTGGCGTCCAGGCCGCCTGCGCAAACACAAGCACAAGCAATCCGAAGTCGGCGGCAGCCCATCCCGCAACTCACTCATTACCAATACGCCGAAACCTTCTCCGCCGCCCAAGGCGAGCGAGATGAGCGATTTGAAATTCGCAGTCATTAGCACGGTGCTTATTATTCTGTCATTTATTACTGCCATGACGGTGAGTAGTTTGGAAAAAGTGCTGGCGTATGTGGGGTCGACGGGTAGTACGACGATTAGTTTTATCTTGCCGGGATTGTTTTATTACAAGATTAGTGACCCGGAGTCGTCGCATCATCAGCGGCTTGTCAAGGATGAGGATGATGAGGATGAGGGGGTTGATGACGGGTACGTCTCGAGTGAGGGGCATTCGAATCGCGATTTTAGGAGGGGGTTGTTGAGGAATGCGGCGTTGGCGTTGAGTGTTTATGGGGTGGTGGTTATGGTGGTTTGTTTGGTTACTAATACTTTTCTTGTGGCGGCTGCGCATTGAGTGGTGAGAGAGAAAGAAAGAGAAGGGGGAGGGGCAGATATGTGTTGCATTTAGCTGGAGTCAGTTTCATTCATTTTCATGGCAAAGAGGGAGTTGGGGATTAGATTGGATGCGGGTATGACTTGGGTTTGTTGGCGTTGGAGCTGGGTTTTGTGTTCGTTGAGACCACTGTTGTTTTGTTGGTGCTGGGGGTTGTGTAAGCATACATGTAGCTGTAGGCATACTAGTGTGGAGTTGAATGTACGAAATGTACTGTTCTTTTGCTGAAAGTTGCCTCTTTCGTGCTACAGTCCTTTGGTGTCTGATGTCTAAGGTGTCTGGCCCTTAGGATGGTGAGCCTGTATGTTGACGGAAATCTTCATTGTCTGGATGCGGGTCTACATGATATAAGAAGCCCCTGTAGCTTTTGAAGAGAAGTTCGATATCCTTTGCCTCATTTTGGCCTAGATCCTCCTATGCGGTATCTTTCTCACCCTACTCTTTCAGGACGCTGCCTAGGCCAGTGACACAGAGTGGTGTCTTGTATGCAGCATTCAGCTAGCAGAGGTCACCATCCGGGTTGTGGTAGTCTGGACTCTGGTCAGTAGACTATATCGCCTGCACTTTATTAGGAGTGATGGCCGGCCCGAATCGAATATGATAATAGAACTTCAAAAAGGACTCACATGAGATATCAAGTTTGGGTTATCCTCTTCTGCCCCCTGCTTCTTTGATGCGCATGATGTGCAACATTGATTGTGTATATGAATCTCGGATAGGGTGTAGCCCATAACCTTCGATATTGCTATTCAGTTTGATTCTGCAAGCCTCTATCATCAACCCAAACGAATAGTTCTTCTTTCTTTCGAACGAAAGATGGTCCATTCCCCGCATATTATGGACTCGTGGATTTTACGGCCGTTTGAGAACCATGTCTTATAAGTCGGTGCAAGAATTATATGTCCGACTCGCTCGTAGTAGTGATTCTTTTCATGTACAACCATGATGAAGATGGTACGAAACCGATCCTCACACCTGCCTAACACTATACCCAGAAAACTACCATTTTTGAAGTCTGGCGCATAACTTTGCTGTGTAGTAATATCGTTCTCGTTCTTTTGATATAGTGGAATCATAGGAACTTGGACCGCAGCCTCATCTCTTTGAAATCTAACGATATACCCAGAGCTGCCATTGTACCAATTGCTGTTGTATTGGGATTCTTCTGCCCTGTTAGGCTTGTACTGGATGTTGATAGGTATCGTCCATGCTTCGATATGGATAAATTTGCTAGAGGAACCAGAAACGCCTTGATCCAGCAAGTCGTCGCTTAGCTCGTCCATATCCGAAAGAGATCCATCACAGTTCTCTATAAAGATCTTCAGTGGTCTGTCGTCTCCAAGTCCGAGTCCAAAAACGCACAGGTGACTTTGGTATCTGATTGATACAGTCCATCCAGCCCAACTCCACGTAGGGAACAGGCTACGTCTGGCGCCTGGAGCTCTATTGGACCAGGTGAGCCCAGCAGCGAAAGCCTCGCCCCTGCTACGATGTATACCCTCCAAGTATATCATCCTTGTCAACGGCATTATGGGAATACCCCGATATTGGTGAACGTGATGCTTTCTCCTGTAGTTATGAAACACTCCTTCAAATGCGCGTATAGCATCGGACTCGACAGATAGTTCTCTTCCACAATAGTCCTCCAGAAGGCGGCAGATGTGCGTAGGTCGATGTCTACTGAGTGCGTCCGGGTCGAGAAAAACGGGCATGCTCATGCTCTGGGAAACATGCCACGTCTCACGCGCTGAACCCTTTCGGCACTCATAGTATACTTGTTGCTCTGTAAAAACGATGCGTCGCGTCGAAAAAAAGCTTTCTTGGTAGGTCCATGCTCGCTGCATCCACTTAGAGGCCTTGATGAGCAGCCGTGGGTCTGGCAGAGTTGACACAAGGCATCGGCCTTTAATCCATGCAGTCGGTTGAGGATGTCTCGAGGTGGCACCGACTCCAGGGAGGCCGAAATGTGGATCATTGCCTGCTGCAGCGACTATAGTCACGAATGCGTGTTGGTATATGAGATCCATTTGCTGGATCTGTGTTTGTTTTTCGGCATCATTCTCTTGGTCGATGCAATACCTGTCGACCCAGAGATATCGGAGATCTAGCACTTTAGTGACACTTATAGCATCTTCGATAGTGCGTGGCAGAATTGTAGGAAGAAAAGTCTTATGACTCCGCTGATCGTCATCGCCAGAGCTGCTCGTACCCCACACATAGCTGAGCGCAGAATATCTGTAGGATGGCAACGCTGGTACGATTTGCCGGAGTTTGCAGTCGATCAATTTCATGTCTTCTGGACCTGAGGCTGATCTGTCATCTCGGATGTTGCAACACCCTCTGTGTTGTTGATCACAAAGCTTTATCCAACCTCGAATAGTGTTGTCGTAGCAAATCGATCCTGGATCGATGGATCGTGCTCGTAGTGAGTATGCATGAGGACCTGTATCTGACCCTTCTGAGCATGCAATGAACCCACGAGACGCTCCCATATCTCGTAGGTACGTCAAGAAACCATACTTGCTCGAGGTGCTACCTTCTTCTCGGGCGACAGCAAGCACTGATCTTTCCCGAGAGTAAGGTGGTGGGGCGGCTGTTAAATATAGGGCGTAGTCATTGACTGAACAATCATTATCATCCAATATCTTTACCGCATGGAAAAAGCGACATAGTGAGCATGACGATAGCTCAGCTTCTACCCCAAGTTTCCCAAGACTCATCAATTTGATTGCTTCGAATTTGCCGTTCATGTTGATAGAAAGGCCCTCAACATCAATAGACGAACATCGGGAACAAAGGGTACTCAGTTCTTCGTGTACTGCTTTGTCGCGTGTTTTGGATGTGTCATGATGGTCCTGGTCGTCACCAGCTGAGAGGGCCTCGAATCGCCGTCGTTTCTCTGGAAAAGCCTCAGGTTCACTTGGTACTTGCGTTCGCTTCATGTCGTGATCGTATCTTTGGGAGAGACCACTCGTCTGCTGGAGATGCAAGGCTGCAAGATGGACAGGTAGTTGCAGCTGTCCCGTTAGTTCAACAGCGTTGGTACTATGACGCATCAAAGCCGTTGAGCAGACTTACCTGTGGTTCATTCTTTTGCTTGACCTGCCATTATCAATGATGGGACAGACCAATTGCGGGGTCATAGTGCTTCCAAGCCTGCTGCTTGTGGAGCTCTACGCTTGTTAGCTGGCCGATAACCAAATCAGGCATGCACATGCATGCGGCTAGCACCGCCACGTCTCGTTTATGAAAGCCAATAATATTTCCTCTCAGAACATCTAACCTATCTCACTAAGGAAAGCTTCTTGGGATACCAAGCCTGTATACTGACGTTGATGTTGATTCTGATGTTTGTGGTATTGTTAAAGGTTATACATTGTGTATGTAGCCTCTCGTGGTCCGATCAAGGGCCTATCCCTTACAAAGCAACTACTCTCATGCTGGGTCTTCTTACACTCATCTTCAAGGCCTTTCATTCGTGAAGACTTCATATCGGATTGTCTTGTTGTACTTCCTCCTTCTCTCTTCTTCTCACAAGATCACGACAACCGCTGATAACGGATTCTTCATACCGCGCTGGTGTTCCAAACGCAATCCCCCCTCTTTACGCAGCAGTCTCCGTAGTCCCACCCTCCATGTTCTCGACCACAACCTTCGGTTCCGCCTCCGCCGTGTTTTGCTCTTTTATCAATGACTTCGCCGCACTCCCGCTCTTAACCACCATCCCCGCGATCTTGCCCACCCGGTACTGCGGCTCCAGTATGCCCACCATGCTCAGTAACCGCCACGCCGTGTCGCTAGGTTGAGCGCCTACACCGACCCAATACCGCGCGCGCGATAAATCGAGCTTGATGTCTTTCCATGGCCGGCCGTGTGTGTCGCCTGGTCGTGGGGGTTGTGGCTTTGGGTCGTACGTTCCGAGGACTTCTAGAGGGCGGGAGTTACGCGCTGTCCTGATTGTATCATTAGCATCGCGTTGGTAGAATCGATGGTGCGCTTTGCGTAGGCATGTAGTCTGCGATTGAGGGCGATTGAAGTATTTGCGGACTTCCGAGATTCGCTTCGATGATTGCAGAAGAGGCGAGGACGTACCGTGCGTGTGCGACGACTATGTTGTAGAAGGGAGCGTGCTTCTTGCCGAAGCGGGCGAGTCGGATTCTTAGGACCATTGTGTGTTGTGTGGGGTTGATGCGACACCTGCGTTGGGGCGCGGGTGTGCTTGTCGGAGGTTTGGGTATATCTTTTTAGGGCCGAGGATCTGCCGAGACGGGTGGGCACGTGCGAAGAGGTGGCTATCTTGACATGAACAGTCTGCAGTGTTGAGCACTGGAATTTTCTGGAAACAATATATCATCTATGCAGACATACCCGTCTTATAGTAGAGGTTTCAAGTTAACAATGTCGTGGTGGTGTTGGATCGCTATTGCGTTCGCTCACCTCATCCTGGAGCAGTGATGTAATCGCAATACCATGAACTGTTCCGAGTATATGTGGACATGTCTCTCTCAGTTTCAACATACACAACATTCTTGACTTTTATAGATCGTCATGGCTCTCCGGGTAGGCAAAAGTCAATCTATGTTCAATTCATTGCCAACACTCATTTTAATCACAGACTCTCTCCGCCAAAAGCGCGGCTGCGCTGGACCAAGAGCTCATGTCCTCAGGCGCGTTCTCTATCGATCAGTTGATGGAACTTGCTGGACTCTCGGTATCGCAAGCAGGTATGATGATATCGCATCACAGCTATCATTCGTACTAAATATCCAGTCTTCAAACTCCAGCCCCTCAGCAAAGGCAAACGCATCCTCGTAGCATGTGGTCCTGGTAACAACGGCGGCGATGGCCTAGTCGCAGCTCGTCACCTGTTCCATTACGGCTACCAGCCTACTATCTACTACCCCAAGCAGAGCAAGAATGAGTTGTATCAGGTGTGTAACATCTTCAAGCACTGAGGACATCCTAGCTTACATCTCACAGCGCCTCAAGAAACAACTCGAAGACCTTAAAGTGCCCTTCACAGAAGACTTCACCAGCGCGCTGAAACAGACTGACCACATTGTCGACGCAATATTTGGCTTCAGTTTCTCGGGCGAAGTGCGTGAACCTTTTCCCAAAGTCATTGAAGCTCTAGCATCCACGTCCGTTCCTGTCCTTGCTGTCGATGCACCGTCATCGTGGGACATTGAAGAAGGCCCAAGAGATTCCGGGCCAGGCAAGGGCTTCATGCCACCCGCTCTCATTAGTTTGACTGCACCCAAACCGCTGGTCAAGAAGTTTACCGGCAGGCATTTTCTTGGCGGGAGGTTCTTGAGCCCGGAGATGGCGGACAAGTACAATCTTGATATCCCAGCGTATGAGGGACTGGATCAGGTTGTTGAGGTACCTGTCGAGGGTGGAAAGCTATAAACTTAACATCTCAGACACAATGCCAGACATTAATGTAAAATACTTTACGCATCACGATCCATCTTAGGTGTTTTGGTACGTACCTGCTTGTTGTGACTAGCGTGGTTTCCCCGCAGAGCCGCGGTACGGCTAACAACGGTCTTGAGATGGCATCCGAACCCCAGCTTCGAATGCACTTCGGCAAACAACCAAGTGATTTCTTTCAAGGCGGAAGCCCGGAAACTCTGTGTCTCTCTTGTTCCCCTCTGACGAGCAGTGTCATTGAGTTGAGATACAATAGCATACTACACAAGCCATCACGCATTCTGCGCGACGTCTGAACGCCGCGTACAGCAAACCTCCCCTCATATAAACCGAGTGCTGTATTGGCTCCCTAAGCCGAACGAGAACAAACCACACAACTCAAAATGGTCCCGAGAGCGCCCTCAAGAGAGGCGTTGACCCTGCTCAAGCATTCAGTCCGACCCTCAGTAGTCGTTCGATCGCAAACACAACGCTGCCTCCTCTCGTCCACCACACGTCCAACCCTGCCATCGCACGCGCAGCCCCAAATTCCTCAACAGTCGATTCGAAACACAGCGACTTTTACACATTCCCACCATGCCGAAGCCGTCTCCGTCATCCCCACGACAGTCGATACGAGCAATGCAGACTTCAAAGAGAACAAGCGCCAGATGGACGAGGCAACCGAGAATCTAGTCAACCTGCATACCAAGATCGCACAAGGCGGACCCCAAAAGGCCCGGGACAAGCACATACAGCGAGGCAAGATGTTGGTCAGAGACAGGATATCTGCTCTGATTGACCCGGGCACGCCGTTCCTCGAATTGAGCCAGATGGCAGGTTACGACATGTACGGCGAAGACGATGTGCCAGCCGGCGGCATCGTCACGGGCATTGGCACAGTCAACGGCGTGCAGTGCATGGTTGTTGCAAATGACGCTACGGTCAAGGGAGGCACGTACTACCCAGTCACAGTGAAGAAGCATCTGCGAGCCCAGACGATCGCGCAAGAGAACAGGTTACCTTGCATTTACCTCGTCGACTCTGGCGGCGCGAACTTGCCTAACCAAGCAGACGTCTTTCCTGATGTCAACCACTTTGGTCGCATCTTCTACAACCAGGCGCGCATGTCTGCCATGGGCATCCCGCAGATTAGTGTTGTCATGGGACCATGTACCGCAGGTGGTGCGTATGTGCCTAGTATGAGCGACGAGAACATCATTGTAGAGAATCAGGGTCACATTTTCCTTGCAGGTCCCCCGCTGGTCAAAGCAGCGACTGGTGAAGTGGTCTCAGCAGAGGATCTGGGTGGAGGCAAGCTTCACAGTGAGGTCTCTGGTGTTACCGACTATCTCGCTGTTGATGACGCGCACGCGCTTGTCCTGGCGCGGAGGAGCGTTGGTAACCTCAACTGGCACCGCAACCAGACTATCACTCAGCAGCCTACATTCCAAGAGCCCCTCTACGACCCTCAGGAGCTGTCTGGTATCGTCGGTACCAACCTACGCCGTCAGATTCCCATCCACGAGATCATCGCCCGTATTGTGGACGGCTCGTCTTTCGATGAGTTCAAGCCGTTGTACGGCTCCACGCTTGTGACGGGGTTTGCAAAGATATACGGTCACCCAGTGGGCATTGTAGCCAACAACGGTATTCTCTTCAGCGAGAGTTCGCTCAAGGGCGCGCACTTTGTCCAGTTGTGCGGCAAGCGACATATCCCCCTCATCTTCCTGCAGAACATTTCCGGCTTCATGGTCGGCCAGGACGCCGAGAAAGGCGGCATTGCAAAGAACGGCGCAAAGCTTGTAACGGCTGTGAGCTGTGTTGATGTACCCAAGTTTACTGTCGTTGTAGGATCTAGTGCTGGCGCTGGAAACTACGGCATGTGGTGAGTCTACCCGTACCTCAACTCTTCACGGAAACACGGCTAACATATTCCCAGCGGCCGCGCGTACTCGCCACGTCTCCTCTTCACCTGGCCCAACGCAAAGACCTCGGTCATGGGCGCGGAACAGCTGTCGTCCGTCATGGAAGCCGTTGGCAAGAAAGTGGATCCTGCGCTAAAGGCACGGATCGAGCACGAGAGCGAAGCGACATTCGGGTCGGCAAGGTTATGGGACGATGGGATCATTCCACCGGAACATACACGCAGGGTGCTTGGCATGGGTTTGCAGATGGCGTGTGGTGGGCAAAACAAGGGCGTGGAGAAGGAGAGCACTTGGGGTGTATTTAGGATGTAAATGGTGCTGAGGGTAGGCTGAGTGAGGGAAAGCTAAGGGTGGAGCGTCGTGCAAGCCGCGTAAAAAACGCGCGTACCAGTTGGATATTAAAAAGCTTGATGTTCGCAACTTTGACCTCGACCTGTGTTCCATTTTTTTGAGCTCCATTTTTTGTGTTTCCATGTTGTTTCTGGCCTTGAAATCTGCAGGCTAATAATATCCAAGGGTCATGGATCGCAATCTCCGGACGTACCCATAGAACCCTGACATCGGCTTGGCATCGGTCTTGGCAGGCGGCCATCAAGACGGCGGACCGTGGCTTCAAGCACGCTCAAGTGCTGCAAGCTTGCTTGGAAAACGCTTGGGAACGATTTACCATCAACGACGCATGCAACATGCGCTCTACTGCGCCTCAGCAGCGGCTGACGAAAGCAGTCGGCCACTGAGAAACACATTCAAACAAAACAAATGCAGGTGGATCGACGCCAAGTCAGACGCCTGCGCCACAGATTTTCCCTGCCTGCGCCCCCACCTAGGTACGGTACTCGGGATCCCCCTCAGTTTCAACCCAGATGGCGGGCCCTATTCGTCGAAAAATACGTCGATTCGCCCGGTGCAGGTGCTGGTTGGCCGTCGCACACGGTGGCATGTGGCTTGTGACGAGTCGAGGCCCGTCGCGCACCAGCGCTTGTGTGTGTGAATTACAAGTCGACCTGCCTTTACGAGGGTTAGGCCAGGCTGAAAGGGAATCGCCAGCGTGCAGCTTGGTTTGCTGACTGCATCCAATAAGTCGCATTCGACGTCCAGCCACCGGGGTAAGCGTATGAAGGCAAAGGCCCGTGTTTACCGTAACAAAGTTGCAAATTGCCGCCATCCGTATTCTTTCGTCAGGCGCGAGCGACGATCGCTCCCGCCCTCTCTTTGTCACATCCGTCATCAATCCAGCTGGACGCCTGTTTGCTACCAACTCAACCACTCACGCTCGCTTTTTCCTCTCCGCCCGTTCCTCCGCAGCCGCCTTCCGCTTTCTTGTTCCTGTATACCCTCGCAGCTCAGCCCTGTACACCACCTCTCTCCCTCTCTCTCGCTGCTTTGTTTGCTTGATCCCGCCACAGAGTGCTCAACTCTCCCCACTTGGTCTCACGCACTTGCGGGGTAGCCATTCGTTAGCATTGTTCTAGCCGCAAGGCACATGTCGAGATGAGGTTATTCAGCCCTGCGCGAGCGCTAGCGGCGCTCTCTCTGTTGTCAACGGATGTCGTGCGACCCTTCACCCAGGCCATTGTCCTCGATCCCAATTCCGAGGGTAAGACGCTGTTGTCGCGCAGCTGCGCAAATCTATCAGAATGCCAGATGTACTGACGTCGTGTCGCAGCTTCCATCAAGGATGTTTCTAGTCAGGTCGCCAAACAGCTCGTTGCGCAGTATGCGACTATCGACGACAAAGGCATACACGTACTGGGAGGTTACCCCGGTATCCTCTACCCACCCTACTACTGGTGGCAGGCGGGTGCTATGTTCGGCACGCTGCTCGACTACTGGCACTACACCGGCGACGACCAGTACAACGAGATGGTTCGCGAGGGGTTGATACACCAGTTCGGAGAGCATCTCGACCTGGTATGCATCCGTGTGTACTGTGTCTGAAGTGTATCGCTAACTTTTGCAGATGCCTTCGAACCAGTCCAAGAACGAAGGCAATGACGACCAAGTCTTCTGGGCCTTCTCCATGATCGCCGCCGCCGAGTACAAGCTCAAGGACCCTCCCTCCGACCAGCCCGGTTGGCTCGCCATGACACAGTCTGTCTTCAATCAGTTCGTAGGCCGCTACCAGAAGGAGGTTTCGGATGGCACTTGCGGCGGTGGCATGCGCTGGCAGATCTATCCGTGGCTTAATGGGTGGACGTATAAAAACACTGCTTCCAACGGAGGACTTTTCCATCTCGGCGCTCGATTGGCAATGTACACAAAGAACGATACGTATGCGAGGTGGGCGGAGAAGGCGTTCGATTGGATGGCGCAGAGTCCTATATTGCCTGGAGATGGGCAGGTGTACGATGGAACGAGCATTACGACGAATCCTCCATGCCACGACGCTGACCAAACGCCTTGGACCTACAACTACGGTATCATGATTGCTGGAGCCGCATATGTAAGATATCATCACGTGTACACTCTACAATCTGCATACTAACATATCGCAGATGTACAACTACACCAACGGCGCCGAAAAATGGCGCACAGAACTCACCAAATTCATCAACAAAGTCGCCATCTTCTTCCCTGAAGAAAAAGGCGGTGTCATGGTCGAAGTTTGCGAAGCGAACCAAGTCTGCGACGCAGATCAAGAATCCTTCAAAGCCTACCTCGCCCGCTGGCTCGGCATCACCATGCAAATGGCCCCTGAATTCACGCCCCAGATCCTGCCCAAGTTGCAGAAATCCGCCGTTGCCGCTGCCCAAACGTGTGAGGGACCGTCCCAACACAACGGCGGACCCCATCAGTGCGGTATGAAATGGTATGCCACCGGTTTCGATGGCATTGGTGGCGTGGGCCCGCAAATGACGGCGCTCAATGTCATCTCAGTGCTGAATGCCCAGCGGGTGCCGCCGCCGTATAGTAGTGATACGGGCGGTACTAGTGAGGGCAATCCTGGCCTGGGTAGTGGCAACGATGATGATCGTCTGCCCAAGTTCCAGAGCGAAATCACTACGGCGGATAAGGCTGGGGCGGCGATATTGACGATTTTGATGTTTGTCTTGTTTGCGGGAGGTGCTGTGTGGATTTTGATGTAATGAAGGGTGGGTGGAAAGATGGGGAGGACCAATGGGCTCCCTTTTTCTTTTTTTGGTTATACCCCCGTTGCAAGATATATGCTGGTATGATGGGATGATACGTGTGTGTTCTGGGCTTAATCTTTTGCGATGGCTCTTTTATGGCGTTATGGGTGGGGATGGGATATGTGGGAGGGAGATTCATGTGTATATTTGATTATCTGAACGCAATATGATTGAGTATCCTCCTTTTTTATTTACGCTAGTTCGATCGTGTGTATGGCCATTGTGGGTGTTTGGTGGTACGAGGTTGGGCTAGTTGTTGGGCTAGTTGTTGGGCTAGTTGTTGGGAGTAGTTGGTCTTGGGAAAAGGTATAGGCGAAGAAGATTTCTGTTCGAAACGCCGAATTAATCACTATTTGGAAACTTGCGCATCGGCTTGAGGAGGTAGTTGGATGGATATGCTACTAAAATTTAGTTAGTTTTCCCCTGCGATGAGGTCGAGCTATGTCTCGCACTATCAGACTTTTGAGTCGTGCTAGTTTTAAAACACAATGTCTATATGAAGTTGTGCTGAACTGTTCAAGACATTGAACTATAAGCTATGGCGTAGAGAATATATAAAGAACTTGGGTCTGACGAAGACCAAGTTTGAACTGAACTAAATAAGATAGTATATCTGGACGATGACTCTAGATGCTACGAGTAACGAAACTGTTGGTCAGGAGAGGGATCACTGGGAAGGTAAGATTACACTCCACCCCTTTCACCAGTTGCATGACTAATCAGACACGCGACTATAGACTTACGAGAGAACAATGTTCCGCGATTCTTATTCCGAATGTTCCATTGGCAAAGCGGCGGCGGCCCGAGCGTAGCCATCAACAACGCAACCGAGATCGTACCTCGAGGCTTCATGAACGGCAACAAAGGATCTAGTGTCTATGGTAAGACCGAGAAAGAAATGTACAAAATGGTGAAGGACCATTTCGATGATAATAAAGAGGTTCTTACAGAGTTTAGCTCTTGGGCGGCATCTCTCCATGCGGTTCTCTGCTTCGCCCGAGACACATGTGCCGGCTGGAATCCTCATGTCGCTGTCATCGATCGCACGAGATTAGAAGGCGAGGTTCTTGTCTGGTGGGTGCCGGATCTTCTCGGTGCTAAGCAAGGTGACATTGAGTATCTGGCGCATGGATGTATACGGGGTCGTGGTTATACCGCAGTGCCTTTTGAGCAGCTTGTCATCAATGGGCTTTATAACTTGTTCCCCGAACTTGAAGCTTGGAAGAAGAATCGCACGAAGAGCATGCCTTTTGGCCGTAAGCTGCAGAAAAAAATGTTTGATCGCGCACCACCAGTTGATATTTCGACCGAGGACATTGCGACTGCTAAAAAAAATAGGCATCTTATTTGGAGAGCTTGCTCTGCCGGTCATGGTGGCGCTGCGTTGTCTCAGGCCGCGGGAAGCTACTGGATTCAAAGAGATGGCAGTTCGGGTGATTGAATCACCAGGTACTAGACAAGTAGAATTCGAGCTTGCGACAGGCTTTTGGGCGCACCCGGGAGCGACTTACACACGCAAAACGAGATACCGTGATACTGGCAGGTGGTATCCAGATATTGAACAGCGGATTAAATTGCTTCGTGCGATCAATAGCCATGACTTTCATCGCCGAGACACAAGGAAGCGGAAGAGGGCTGGATCCGACGCTGAATACGAACCTGATACTGACGATTACACTAATCGGTTTCGGAGCTATTATAATACGCGGAAAGGTCCACGGCTAGATTATACTAGAGTAATGCCAGCGAGATTAGGCAAGGCAGAAGATTTTGTCCAGTTTGGTTCCGCTGGGTCGGATGAAGGAGAAGAGGATGGGACGTTAGACAAGGAGGGAGACAAGGGGTCAGATAAGGACACGGACCAAGTGTTGAACGCAAAAAAGGACGAGGATATCAACAAGGAGGAGCAGCACATGGCGATGCAACGCGAGTTTATGAAGAGATGGTTGAAGACGTGGTCTGAGCACGTAAAGGCATATAAAAAGGTCCTGTAAGATCGAGAAAGAAGATAGGAGGTCGAGAAGATATGAACAAGGATTAGCCGAATGCTGGCAAAATCGGACTTTGCATTGGCATTCACCTCCCATTATCATTTTTCTGAAGAGATTTTGTCCACACGTTAGTTGATGGAGGAAGACATGACGCGACAACGGCGACGGTGTATGGGCCGGGGCCTCGCGAAGACGCGTTACTCTGGCTTCGGCTAGTCCAATGGACCAGCCGCCCCCAAGGCCTTTCCGAACACTGCGCCCTTCCAGGCTGCCATCTTCACCCTCCATTCACCGACCACGACTCAAGAACTGCAACTCACCGTCAAGGATCATAAACGTCATAGGTTGATACAAAGAACGCCTCACCGGCGTGCTCTTGGTAAGTGGCTGTGAGCGTGGATGTAACGTTTCGCGATAGGCGTAAACGCACACAGCCCGGCTGCAGCTCGCACACACCGTTTTTTACCCATCCGCTTGGTGGGCTTTGAGGATGCTGAGGCTTCGTAGTGCAGCCGAGTGGGTATCCAACACGAGTCCGGTCAGTGCTATCATAGTGGTTTTTTTATAAGAAGCCAGCGCCTTGGAATTTCATCTCATCTTTTCACCTCCCTCTATTTCTGACCTCGGAGATGCTCATTCATTCTGTAGAAGACAAACGTTGCTGCTCAAAGTGACATTGGCAATCCACCATTAGGCGACCATGGCTACGAGGCAGAAAGGCAGAAAGACGGGATCAAGCGAGCAGCTTTTCAGCTCGACTTGTTCCGCGAAAGACACACCGTACCAGGATGCGTGTGGGTAACCGCGCCGCAACACTCGATGCCATCTTGGGAGCGCAAAGATGGGCTGATCTTTTCGAACGGCAGTAACATTGAAACAGCTTATCGTCAGTTCCACTAATCTGCTTGCTAGGATCAGGTACAGCCCCGCCTGTTCCTGTCGCTTCGCTTCTTTCAACATCTAGACGACAACCACAAGGCTGAACGACTAACACCGTAGAGGACTCCCCTGCATGCCAAGCCACAGCCTCAATCTTGGAAAACCCCTCTTCGCCTCAAGACCCGTACACCGCCATCCTTGACACCCTGTCACCCAGTAATTCACTACATTCCATCGATCGCTATCGTTAGCGAAGCTCGGCCATATCCCTGAGGTCGACCGCCGATCCTATGGTCATGCCGTTGTATCTCGACAAGTCGCCGCTGAGAACAGGACCTTTGAGCCCCGTTTTACTCACAACTGGCCTGGGTCCAAGACCTTAGCATCATGCCCCCATGTGATGGCTCTCCTGTCAGCCATACCCGACGCTGGGGTGTGTATGCCATTTGGAGGCTGAGCTTAGGTGATTAGGCTCCTTCGAGGATCCGACAGGCGATGCCCCATTACAAAAAGTGACTACCCACCGCAGCGCATGAATGCACGGATATGGGGATCGTTCACACACCCAATGAGTTCACTTTCCACTCACACAGATGCCTCCTCGACGTTCCCATGTACAGGCCAAAGGCTCTCTGCGGTGCGCCACCAATTGAATGCGTGTCGTCATCAGGCAGTAACATCTTTGCTGTAGCACTGATATGTGACTCTTATCCGTGTACTTGAACGTTGGTGCATCGTCTATCATTTGGGTCGGCATACCCTCGACATTCCAATATGCCTCCCAAGAAACAGACACCCAACTCCACTAAGAAGCGACCACACTCTGAATCCCAATATGAGCCCCCTGATTGTGCGCGGAGGGTCACTCGTCGCTCGACAGCTTCCGCCCGAGCGAGAGTCGGTCCGCAATCTCCACCTCACACATCGCCGTCGGTCAGACGAGAACAGACTATTGCCCGTTCATCCAAGCCGCTTCCCGTATGCAGTCCTGGCGGTGAGCCAGAAGCGCAAGCCAATGTTACGCCGAAAACACCTCGATCTCTTGTCAAATTTGCTGTTCAACCTCACAACCCTCCAATCGAGCGCGCCGTGCCATCGACTCCGCCTATAGCCCTTTCCAAACACTCATGGGCATCACGTTCAGCTGTCCTGATCAATAGAGGTGGCTTCAATACGCCCACGAGTGAGCCAACAGGCTCGTCAAAAAGCACCAAGTGGGCAGACGCGATAGGCCAGATCAGCAAGATGTACAGTTACAAGCGCATACCTGAGAATCAGGTCCGTCTTCTACTCATAAAGCCTGGTTCCTTCGACGATCAGATCAACGCTTCACTGCTGGTCGTAAGTGACGATGACCTGGGAAGCGAGCACTTTCCTTACTCTGCCCTTTCGTACAATTGGGGCAACAGCAACGACGACAACACCATCATTGTTCAGGATGATCCAGCTTCAATTCCTGTCAAGTCTATCGCGAAGGCAGTCGGTGCTCTTCAAGCAATCGCGCGGGACAAGATGATTAAGGTGAAACCGAATCTCTACGAAGCGCTCAGACACCTGCGGAAAGAAACCCACACCGTCGCGCTTTGGGTAGATGCGCTGTGCATTAACCAGTTTGACAACAAGGAGAAAGAAGAACAAGTGCTCAAGATGGCGCAAATTTATCGCAAAGCCTACAATGTCAATGTGTGGCTCGGTTCTGATAGCCCCGGTGACTTGGTTCCGAACAGGGCCATGGCTTTTATTCCAAAGGTCATTGACCCGGACAACCTCTCCGAGCTTTTGACTGGCGACAACTATACCAAAGACTGGGCAAGTTTGTACGAACTTCTGAAATGGAGCTGGTAAGTGCAGCATAAGTCAAAGTAACCACACATGCTGATTGCGTACAGGTTTTCGAGACGCTGGGTTATACAAGAGCTGGCGTTCGCTCAGTCCGCTTCGGTTCACTGCGGCAAGCATGTGCGCGATTGGAGTGACTTCCAAACTGCTATCGCCATCTTCCACCGACACTTTGACGTCTTGAAGTCTCGACTCATGCTGCATTACGAATCTTCTCAAACCAAGCGCAGTTACTTGAACGATGATTCAACTCTGGAGATCGAGCATCTTGGTGCCAAGCTGTTGGTGGACATGACATCGACTCTGTTTCGTAAGCGTACCGATGGCTCGCTGGAGTCTACGAGAGGGTTAGAGAGCTTGGTATGCTCTTTGGCGGGGTTTGATACGTCTGATCCGCGCGATACGATCAACGCCTTTAGAAGCATATCGAAGGAAGTGACCAGGTACGACTTGCGACTCGCAGAATCCCACAAGCTACCGCCCACCCCAAATTACAGCCATGATCTTTTCGAGATCTATCGCGACTTTGTTCAATGGGTCATAGAGACCACGGGATCCATTGATATAATCTGCCGCCACTGGGCGCTTAAGGAGCGGAAAGAACCAACGCCGACGACGCCTCGGCTCGTTCATCTCCCTTCTTGGATCCTGTTCGCGGAAGACTCTGCCTGGGGAAAAGGTGAAGACATGTTTCGTGGTCGAAAGGCCGGTGATAGCTTTGTTGGTCTACCTGGCAGCAACAACTACAATGCCTGTGGCAGGCGGTACAAGCAAGCCGAGGTTACATTTCCGCAGAGCCCAGTCCAACGCAGTTCCACAATACCAGCTCAGGTCACTCACGACATGTCAATGTACGTCAAAGGTGTCATGATCGGGTCGGTCTCGTTCCGCACCGATCCGTTTCCGGATGGCGTAATCACCAAAGACTGCTTGGAATGTCTAGGCTGGGTTTTCGACAAAAATGCCAAAGAGATCGCCGAAGTTCCTGCTAAGCTCTGGCAAACACTAGTCGCAGACCGTGATCCGCAAGGAGGCCCACCTCCTCCTTGGTACAAGACAGCATGTCAGCACTGTCTTGCTTACCAAACAAACAACGGCCACATAAACCTCGGCAATATACTACGTCGAAAGCTCCAGACCGGTTCTCAAGACCTAGTGTACGACTACCTCTGTCGCGTACGCGCCGTCACATGGAACCGATCTTTCCTCAGAGGCGATCCTATCTGTAGTGCTGCGTCCAAGGATTGCGGCTCGAACCACGACGAGCTCGTTGGCTTCGGACCACCTTTGACTGAAAGAGGGGATGTGATTGCCATTTTGTATGGTGGCAGCGTTCCCGTAATCCTCCGACCAACTGAAAATAGCTCGGGTGATCACCTTGGCTATCGATTCGTCGGGGAGACATACATCTACGGTAAGATGGACGATGAAGCCTTCGGGGTCCATTGTCAAGAAGAAACTTTCAAGCTACTCTGAGATTTGTCTCCGCCACCTGAGTCGAGAATCCCCAGCAGAACTTGCTTTCTCCTTGCGCAATGCTGCTTCTTACAATCGCGTCGTTTTTGTATATTTGACCCTCTTGCTTTCCGTTCCTGTCCTCCCATAGAATAGGCATACCTACGGTCAAGCCTGACTCATCTCTTGCTTCTACAATACCCCTACCTCACGACCTTACGACCTCACGATACCCTATACCCAAAACGACTTCGAGCTTCAACCTCTCGTTTACAGCGATACCCCGACTTTAGACATAATTTTGTCAATACGATATATCAAATAGATCTCTTTATCAACACATTCTACTGCACTACGATAGTATATTTGCTAGCTAGATCGAGCAGAACACACATTGATCTCCCAGGCATATCAGCCACAGCTTTTCATGCGTGATAATATACTCAAAGCCATGTGCAAATGATCGTTGCGCACGTGAGGCGGATATATGAGGGCGCAGCGAACCTTACATAGGTACGGAGCAAGCAACTGTTGTTGATCAACAACTAGAAAAGACCCAACCAAGCTTTTCAAAGATTATCGGTGGCTTTCCTAGCTTGCATTGCTGGCTCATAGTCTTCGTCAGAAAGTGGGGGCTAACGACCAGGACGGTGAGGCTGATTCGTTCCCCGCTTTGCATGAAGCCTGCGCCCTGGGGCCGACAAACACTGGGGCCTTGTACCTCAACAACTCTATCGCCGGATAAGAACACACCGAATCCTTGCGAAAGCAATACCCAGGTATATGCTTAATATGTCGGCTGTGTACAATTGTCACTACACTATTCTTCTGACTTCAGCGCGATATGCCTTGTGTTGGCTCTTACGTGACGACATGGTAGTATGCGCTGCTGAACGCTGTACTTGAGCTGTCCCACAGCTGATGAGAAGAAGCCATAGGCGACACAGCCACAGCAAACTGTTGTAGCAGCGTCTGGAATGAAGCTACATATTTTGTTGTAATGGAGAAACGAAGACGGTTAGGCAGCTGCGCTACCTTCCACGAGTAAGAGTACGAGAAAAATATCTAGTTTGTAATCAATAACGGAAGAGAGATGATGAGATCCTGACCGGGGTGTTCTGACCAATGATAGCTGCGTATTCGATCCCACTACTGTCTGCGCTTACGGCCAGGCCTCTGCCCCCTCACCACTTACTCTAGCAAAAAGCGTCAGTCTGCCTGCAGCGCGTGCCACCATACAAAAAGACAAGAAGCCACCTAAGGCGCCACCCGTATTGCGACAGGAGCAGTCAGCAAGTCATGTACGCGTCTCAGAAGGCCGACCTGCGTATCACTGGCTAGCTACTGCGCCCCCACCAGCTGCATTTCACATGCATGGAGCGAGGCTGAATCTCAGCCTTGTGCATTCAGGTCCCAAAGATCATGATAAGCTGCCTGAGTCCCCGTGAACGCCGTTGTGGCTTTGTCTCCAGAGGTTGCACCCCTCCGTCAATGTAATGGACCCTCTATCGGTAGCAGGCTCGATCGCGGGTCTCATCTCCTTGAGTGACGCAATCTTTCGCAAGCTCTACCACTACGTCAAGGATGTGAAAAGTGCAGAGAAAGAGGTGCAAGACCTTAAGAACGAAATCGCTGCACTCAATGGCGTACTCCACAACGTCCATCTGATTGCTCAGGATCTGGAAACGAGCAGCCTACAAGACATCTCGATCCGTCCGGATCATATCAACTCCTGTCTCGCGACCCTCTACCGGTTGGACGAGAAAATGAACAAAGCTGCTATCTTCGACAAAGGCAAGATACGTGCCACTATCCACAAGCTCAGCTGGCCATTCAAATCTGTGAACGCAAAGAAGTTTATCGAGGATATTCGCAGTCACCGAAATCACCTCAACTTCGCTCTATCTGCGGATACTATGGCAGCTTTGCTTCAGTGTCTTTCGAAACAAGATCAGCTGCTCTCGAATGTTGCTAGCCTTGAGACAAGACTGCGAGACCAACAGAACATTGACACCAAGATCGTCGTCAATGCGGAACGCCAGAAGATCCTGGATAGTTTCCTTTCTGTCAATCCTGAAGATTCATTCCGTACTAACACGCGGATCAGACACGCCACCACCGGGTTTTGGCTTACTGGAACTGATGAATTTACCAAATGGATGCAAGGATCAAATTTGCATCTTTGGCTAAGCGGCATCCCCGGCGCCGGTAAGACGATTCTCTCGAGCTTGATCATCCAACAATGCTTGAAGCAAGCTACAGATGATAGAGCAGTAGCGTTCTTTTACTGCGATTATAAGAATACCATGAGTCAAGACGTGGTTCAGATCCTGAGTAGCCTTGCATCGCAACTCGCACGGCAACATGAAAGCTGCTTCCAGCTACTCAAAGACTACGACAATAAACTGCGACCACAGCATCAGCTGCGAAGAAGTCCCGAAGTCGATGAGCTCACCGATTTGCTCCGAAAAATGTCGGATCACTTTGAAGATGTACGTCTGATAGTGGATGGGCTTGACGAGTGCAACGAGCAGGCTGGTGCGGTAGCGAGTACACTGAGGTCGCTAGGAGATGGTCACGCCGTCATTTCTATGTGTTTTCTGAGCAGAGACGAGCTTGATATCCGTACGGAACTCGAAGCACCCATGTTCGAACACATTGAGATTGCTGCGCACACAGAAGACGTAGAACACTATGTTCGTAGCGAGATAGAAGAAAGGCTCAAAAAGAAGAAACTTCGGCTGAAAAGTAGGGAACTGAAAGACGAAATTGTACATCAGCTCGTGACACGAGCACAGGGCATGTGAGTGTTGCTCGTAAGGCTTTTTGATGTATTTGCTTATCACCACAGGTTCCGTTGGGTGTCTTGCCAGCTCGACCACCTCTGCGAACTGCCAACAGATGCGCTTCGTCGTAAAGCCTTAACGTGTTTACCATCAACTCTGAACGAAACGTATGCAAGAGTACTGATGCGTGTGGAGAAGTCCGCCAGACCGCTGGTACGGAGGACCTTACAATGGATCGCCTACGCTGAACGTCCCGCGCTCTCCGACGAGCAGTTGTTGGAGATCGTCGCTATAGACGAGGACGACGAGGATTTGGATCCTGAGGCGTGCCCTGATCTAGAAGACCTTCTTCGATATTGTGGAAGCTTAGTTCGCAGAACTAGCGGTAGCATTTACGATTACACGAACAATTCTTGGTGTGCTAGTACTATACTTGAGTTGGCTCATTTTACCGTCCAAGAATTTCTGGAGGCCATCATCCCTAACGATACGGAACTGAACGAGTTCCGCCTGAGCTCGATTGACAAGCTCACTTTGGCTAAGACCTGTCTGAATTACCTATGTCTTCCATCATTCAATAGGCCGCCTGTTGACTTTGAGAAAGACTATGAGGACCATCCATTCTACGAACATGTATCACGACACCTGATCATTTACGTCCACAGATTTGCCCACGAGGAGGATCTGCAAAAGCGCCTCCAAAGGCTGTTTCGTCCGCCGAAGTCCCACAGTCTCACCCGGTTCGTCCTACACAATATTCAGAATCCGGGAATTGAACTTCGGAAAGAGGGGAGGTTCAACAAAGTCTGTTCTTACGAGTTTGGAAGCATACATGTTGCGGCTATGTTACGTCTTGGAACAGTATGTCAGTGGCTAATCGACGAAGGATGCGATGCAAATCAAAAATCCATGCTTGGCACTCCATTGGAATTGGCGATCTTTGACACAAGTTTCGAAAGGAAGATATATCGAGACTTTCACAACCCACCTCCGCCACTTCGCCTTCAGCTAGGGCTCTCTGACGACGATGGTCAAGGTATCCTGTCGGTATTATTGAAAAACGGTGCCATCTGGAACACAGAGGGCGTGGATACTAAGGCTTTGTATCCAGCAGTATCTTCTGTTACAATGGAAGAAGACCTGGTCGAGATGCTTCGTCATGGTATGCCTCTATTAACGGAAACCATTGAGCGACTTGAGAAGGTTCCGGACAGCAGGCTCATAAAGAAGTTTTCCGATGTTATTCATGATGCTGAGAATGCGAAGATCCCTTTGGAAGTCAAGCTGCGGGTACTTGATCTTGCTCGAACAAGGCATATTGAATTAGAGGCCAGCGGCTTGCCTGTCGATACGACAAGAAGTGCAATGAAAATGTTGAGCGACAAGGCTTACGCTGAAGCTATCGTTTATACTGCTAAGTATGGCCCAGTGTCAAATCTCGTTCATCTCACAACGGACGAGCGATTCACTGTCGACATGAAGGGACTATGTCACTCGGCAACATTACTTCACATAGCGGCAGAACACAACTCTACACAGTGTATGGAGCTACTGTTAGACAAGCATTTCGATGCTGCTCATCTGGACAAACATGGACGGTCGGTCTTGCATTGCGCTATCGATTCTGGCGTACAAGAAGTAGCTCTACTACGTCGGCTAGTTCAAAGTAATGCTACCGAGATTGTAGATTGCGATGGAAGAAGCGTTTGGCATGTCACAGCTAAGGAGGGGCGCTTGGACGTTCTTGATATCCTCATTACGGAACTTGGATCGAATCATCCTTTCCTCTGCATGCAGAGCAAACTAGGGAGAACCCCACTCTTGGAGGCAGTCTTGTATCGACAACGTCATATCGCATCCCGGATTCTAAGGTCACTTCCGGCGGAAAAAACCTTTGCGGTGGATCCGCAAGTTGTTCATTCCGCTGTAGCGACTGGTCTTGAAGACATCTTTCGAGAACTTGTGGAAATGGGTGCGAGCCTAGACATCAGATCTGACCAGAATCAAAGTGCTCTGTATTTTATTACCCAGGAAACGACCCCTGGCATACTGAGAACACTATTAGACCATGGCCTCGAGGTAGATCGTCTTGACAGCTACGGAAGATCACCCTTCCTCGACTTCCTAGAAGTTGATCAGCACTCGCAGAGACTGGAAGCGCTGGGATACTCCAAATCTGACTCCACAAGTCTTGATCTTTCAGTCATGGAGCTACTTATCACGCCCTTTTGTGCTATGACTCAGGATAAGACAGGTAACCTTGCTTGGTTCTATTTCTGTACCAAGACGATACCACATTGTCTTCTTCGCCAAGCACTGTCTACCGAGCTTGGTACCCTCATAGGTTTGCTCGATGTTCTGATAGAGCGAGGTGTATTGAAAGTTTACGAAGAGGCCACCACCAACTCCGGCATCGCCCTTTCGATAAAGGCGTGCCTAGACACTGTTTCGAAGACCAACATAGAGGACCAAGAGACCATATTGCCCTTTGTCAAGGCCGTCCTAGGGCACGTCCCTAAGACTACCACAGTCAAGAGTCTCTTCGCCACTCATCCAGAAGCAGTACGATTATTAATCTGGTCCATGACTCAATCCGACAACGACGCATTGAAGCAGCTACTTGGCCTGGGAATAGATGTCCACGCTACATGTGAAGACTACGGTGGAAACTCGGCTATTGATATCGCCATAGAGGGCACCATCAAGGAGAAAACTTTCGATATGATCCTCACTCATGCAGACCCTGTTCGAATCCCTAAGCTCCATGCAGACGGCTCGTTGAGGCATTTTGTTCTTTGCGTTTCGCCAAAGCTCATTCAAGAGCCGGTCAAAGAAATGGAATTGCCGACCGCCACGAACATTTCGAAGTTGAAAGCGATTCTAAAAAGAGGCGTTGATCCCAACGTCAAGGACTCTCATTGCAGGACCACAGCTCACTCAGCAGCTCAGAGAGGCGACTTAGAATGCATCAAAGTTCTTGTGGCCTACCATGCAGACTTAACAATCACGTCTGATTTCGGTTGGACTGCGATACACGAGGCTGTGGCAAATGGAAACATCTTTATAACAAAATACGTACGGCAACTCTTACAGGATCAAGACAAGTGGGAGCGTTGTGTAGCCTTTAGTGTCCCGCTCTCTGCACTTAATGACGCCCCTCTCGGTCCACTCCCTCAAGTAACGTACCATCATGGTACTCTAGCGCATCTGGCGGTCTACAATCACAGCTCAGAAATGCTTCAGTTCTTGCAAGACAACGATCTAGTGGACAACATCAATGCAACAACACAGGAGGGCGCCACTCCACTTCACTTTGCCGTATGCATAAGTCATCCTCAAACGACCAGATGGCTGTTGAACAATGGCGCAGATGTCAACGCAAAGTGTGGCATACATAATACCTCCGCGCTACACGTTGCGTTCAGGCTGGGCTGCCTTGACAACGCGATCGCGCTGGTCGAAGCTGGAGCGGACTTTTCTGCCGATTCAGCAGGAATCACACCCGAGATGCAAGTAGACCCGACCATCTGTGCAGATTTGCTCGAGCTTCTTCCCAATATCGGGGTTCCAATTCCTCCTACAGTGATGGAAGGTATTCGGCGTAGGCACCAACTCAAGTCATCTGGGAACCTGTTTAGGGCGATAGTGAATGGAGATTTTGATGCCTGCAGGTCAATCATCGCAGCTGCACCATGCTTTCCCAAAAGGGTCAAAAAAGGCACTCGATACACGCCGCTCATCGTTGCACTAGTTCACAATCAACTAGACATTGCGAAGTTGTTCCTTGATCATGGCGCCTCTACAAATGGTGTTTCACGTGAGGAGGTCGATCGTATGAGTTTCGAGGCCTCAGCTCTTGAAATAGCCGTTAAAAAGCCGATGTTTAACTCTCTACTTGAGCAGCTTCTCGAGCAGTGCCTATCGCATGAAACACATTGGAGTCAGAGGTTCGGTTACTGGCGACCGTTTCATATCGCGGCCGCCTATAACCCTGGGGCAATCGAGATACTTGCCAGTCACGTTCTCGCGCATGTAGCGCTGTTTAGGTACGTGGATATCAAGCAGAAGTAGATCAAGGGTGCTTGTTTATAATGGATTCGCGCCAGGAAATTCTCTAACATACATATAGAGGGAGTTTACACTCAACCTTTAGCACGTTCGACATAAGCCCTTCTTCGACCTTGAAAGCAGGTCTTGAAAGATATGCAACAGATATAGATGCCGTTTCGTTGACAGGATTGGAATCAGGTTTCACCACGCTCCATGTGGCTATTACGAGCGGAAATTCGGAGGCCGTAGATGTCCTCCTCAAATACGGCGTTGATGCGGGTGTGAAAGACGAAAACGGGTTCTCCCCACTTCACTATGCTGCGGCCGCTGATAACAGCATTCTCGTCGAAAAGCTGCTAAAAGCTGGAGCGAGACTCGACGCTATCGACTTCTTCCAAAAGACCCCACTTATATCTGCTGCAAGGCGCGGAGCAGTGCAGGCAGCCTCGACGTTAGTTGAACATGGAGCGGACCTAGTGACTACAGACCTGGCTGGCCAAACTGCATTACATCATGCTGCTCGAAAACAAAAACTTGGGATGTTCATGTTCTTGCTCGACGCCGGATCCGACGCTTACCAGCTTGACGACAAAAGGCATTCTCCAGTATATTATGCATTGTCACAGGCACAGCTCGCCACATATGTTTACGCACGCTGTTTGAGTCTGGCCCATATTTTTTGCGCGGATATAGCCCCCAAATTAGGGCCGGGGATCCATGCTCTGCGCTCGTTCCTTTGCTATTGTTCCGAGACCACCAGGCGTTCGTATCTAACAATGGCAACGGAGGATGGCGATACAGTGTTCATTGACCATGCAATTTACGATGGCCCAGATTATATCCAGGTTTGTATCAAAGCTGGTGCGCAACTTGAAGCAACACGCAACAACGGTGATACAGCGCTTCTCGCCGCGTGTCGTGCTGGACGGATACCCTCAGTCGCATATCTTGTTCGACACGGAGCGAAGCTAGAGTACGGGTATCAAGGTCGAGCATTTAATGCATATATAGCAGCAAGTAGGCACCCGGAGATCGTCAGATGGCTGTTGGTAGAACGTTGGACTGAGCAAGGCAAACTTGGTAGTGAGCCTGCCAACAGTGGAGAAGAGGCACAGTGCCAACCTTGGACTGGGGTACGTACCGTCAAGATACCTTTGCGTGGAGATTACGAGCGGCCAGAGGGATTATCACTATTGGATCACGTGAAATATCTACATGGTGTTGCAAAGGGAGGATGGAGGATATTGGTGCCATTAGGCTGGGATACGATTGCAAACCTCGTGCAGTTGCCTGGAGAGGTGTGAGACATGATGTTTCCCCATAGTATGGCGTACCGTGGCCAATATCCTTTTTAGACATGGTGCGGTGGTTCCTGTCAAACATATATGAAGGGATCGACCTCTTGACTATCATGAACATGCATCACATATGTTGTGTCCAACATTTAGATTTCCTCTCAGCGCGAGTTACTAAATGAAGGCTAGGAAGCTCACTGTTGACGCCATCCCAATAGCCCACCAAATGCACTCCGTAACGAGATCACGAAGACAAGGAGATGCGTTGGGTGTCGGCGAGCCCAGCGACGACTCTACCGAGCATACTGTACCACTCGTATCCGTGATAGTGCTGGTACTCGTGTTGAATAACAGCTCAACCCATTGTACATCGAACCAGGCGTCTTGGCCAATATCCATACGTCCTGAGAAAGTACCACCATTGCTCCAAAGACTCAAAATAATCATACTCTCCTGATGGGGTACATTGACTTCTGTATAGGCTGATTGCGCTCCGTTCATATACCACGCGCTTCTTCCGTCCACCCAGTCCATTCTATAGTTGTTCCAAGTCGAAGTGGGTTGGTGAGCCTCCATCGACACATTGAATGTTGCGCCATCGATAGGTACCCCAGTGTCGGGGTCAGTGGTAGGCTGGTTGGAGTAGTGCACTTCGTCCGCCGAGCCTCCAGTCGGAATCTCTATATCCGACTCGGATGTGTCATCGTGGTACGTGAAGAAGCCAGCGATTGCGCCACTGGCTCCATGAATGCGTGCGGACATGCGGATGGAGGCGAATGTGACGTTGTATTCTGCAAAGTCAAGCTCAGCCGCCAGCTGGCTTCCGTCTGAAAGCCTTGTCGTATGCAAGGTGAGGTAAGTCGAATGTTCTTCCGATTTGTCGGTGTTGTTCCCTGACTTTGGTTAAGAAAGCGCAGAAGCTACGAAAGAGAGTATAGCTTACTGATTGATACACGAGACGGTTTGTAGTGCATGTCTATCGTGTCATTTTTGGGGGAAGGTCTGAACCAATCTCTAGCATTCCAACCCGAGTTCCAGGGAGCAGCTTCGATGATCTTGGTCTGACCATTGGCCGATTCAGTAGCCGTGTAACTCTTTCCGTAAGACGAGGCGGCAGCCGCATCGCCATCAATATCATCACGAAGGTTCCTGAAGTCGTAGAAGCGATAGAAGTCGTACGTTGCTGCTGTCGAGCCATTGGTTGAGAACTGAGTACATTCTGCAGAGACCTGGACGAGGAGAAAAGACGTAGCGAAAGCCAATAGGAGAGCTGCACTGGAAAACATGGCAAAGAATGAAGGTAAGCGATTGGGATCACAGCAGACTTGATCTGCAGATATTACGACTTATCAGTCGCATTCGCTTATACTACATACGTGTAATGGTTTCCTCTCGGTGGTCTCATGGTCTCGATGTCACCTGGCGAGGCGTTCAGGTGGGACATGGTAAGCTAAGGCGTTCAGCTGCTCGGATTCGACGCTCAGATTTCCATTGATAGAAACATAACGTGAACGTGGGGTATTACAAGGCTATGTTGTTTTCGAGACGTGAAACAAAGGATGACAGGATGACACAGATGAGGCTTGCAGAGTTTTGTGGCTTGCTAGTGGCGTCCAATAAAAAATGTGTGTATTGACTCCTGCGGCTCCGCCCGTCCTAGCGCTAAAAGGTACCGTACCCGAACACAAAACCCACTCATCGGTCTAGACTCCCGCTCGCAAAAGGAACTTATGAAAGTGTCAAGTATATGCCGCCGAGGCATCAATCTGAAGAAAGCGGCACAAATCCTGGCAGCAGTTTTCGATCGACTTTGCCGTCTTCCACTCGAGCTCTACAGCTGCCCTCGTGGGGTCAGCCACAACAACGCCTACGTCACCCGCACGACGTCCAACCTCCTGCGTTTCTATGACCTTTCCTGAACAGGTTTGCATTGCTGCCACAATCTCCTTGACTGAGCTACCATCGCCGGTGCCTAGGTTGTACGTGTGGAATCCTGGTTTCAGCCGCGACTCACCAACCGCTCTGAGAGCAGCGACATGGCCCAACGCCAGATCGCTGACATGGATAAAGTCGCGCATTGCCGTGCCGTCCCTGGTATCCCAGTCCGTGCCGAAGATCTTGAGATGCGGCATCTGTCCGTTCATGACCCGAAGTAGGCTAGGCATGAGATTGCTGGGTTCTGTCCTAGGGTGTTCTCCTAGCTTGCCAGAAGCATCGCAGCCTATGGGGTTGAAGTAGCGCAAAGCCACAATGGACCACTCTGGATCTGAGACCGCTAAGTCATTCAAAATAGCCTCGCACATCCATTTGGAACGACCGTAGGGATTTGAGATCGCCGTGCAGCCACCTTGCGTAACTTGCTTCTTTCCTGCAGCATCAATCCAATCCCGGGTTTCGTGAAGGCAATGGTTCTCGCTTATCCGCAGCCCAACCTCGGATGTCACTTCACCATAAACGGCGGCGGAAGAAGAAAAGATAAGGTTCTTGATGTTCAGACTGTCCAATAACGTGCAGAAGGTGACCATGCCCGCGACGTTATTGGAATAATATTGCAGTGGCTGCTGGATACTTTCGGAAACAGCCTTGTGGGCGGCAAAGTGGATGACGCCTTCGATGACGGATCCCGACAGTCCAGAGCTGTACCGTTTGAGAATGACAGACATGGCGTGCTCGTTTCGATAGTCGGCTTCGTGAAACGTAAGAGATGGATTCCATGAAGTGTTTCGGTAGTGATCATCTCGCAGCTCCTTGATGCGGTCCAGTGTTGACAGGTACGAATTGTCCAAATTGTCGACAATGACAACACTGAATCCGGCTCTGAGGAGCTCCAATGACGTATGACTGCCAATGTATCCTAGACCGCCAACGACAAGAACGTACTGGGATCGACGAGCATTGGGCCCATCTGAGATGAAGGACGAAGGCTCGTCGATCTCGGAAGCAGGGGTGCTGTATCCAGATAGGATAGTTGATACAGGTGAAGAAGGGGATGCATCAGTAGAAGATGAATACGGACGAGCTTCGAAGTAAGACATGATGATCAATAGCGATGGCGGTATTGTCTCCAACTGGAGTCTCCTACGCACTTTATGTGTGTTGCTTTCTCTTCACTTCCACAACACTTTCGACCTCGCCATCGCCTGTACAGCTCACTGAACTGTGCTTCTCGATCTAGACTCCACAACCTTTTTCGTCTGTCTGCTTCAGCTCAACAACAGCTTCTCCGTGAAAAGCCTCTTCAATTCGATAGTGGGAACGCTCTTCTCTCTAAGCTGACAAGATGCGTTTTCAATATATGGCTGTTGATTCTGTTTTGCCTGACATCCAATCCCACATATGGATTGTCGTGTACCAGCCAGTCTACCACAGTGGTCTAGAAACATGTCAGCCACAGGTACTCTTTCATCCCGCCTCGCCACGACATGGCGTTTGCACGTTCGCCAGAAACTACACATGTTTGGTACAACCCCAGCTCTGGAACTTCGGGAACAGGGATGAGCAGGCATTTGTCACATCACTCCATGTAAGGGTGCTGTAGTGTGTCGCCGGGCTGATCTGATACTCGATACTGCCAGGATGTCTCTGAGATTGGAATCGATCGATCATGGGTATATCGCCAATCTTGCGTTCACTATTGTTGGTACGAGCCGTAGGATTTCGTGTTGTTAACTACGAGGGCTGAAGTAGTACGCAGCATGTCCACGAAGCTTTCAGGCTACAAGACACGACTTCTGTGTAAATTGACTTGTCAATCTCATTCCACTGCAGCATCGCTTCTGTGGCGAGGTTGTACCATACGTAGAATTGTGTTGAGAACGTGGAGGTTGATGTTACGCAACGTCAACGTTCGGAGGTACTTCCTGGTCAGCCCTTTGCACGGCTGGTACCCGGTAATGCGTTGTGGAAATGATTAATGCCGGGATTTAAGCGATGCGGGGAGTTTTTTCACTTTGGTTCGGTCGTCCCGGTGAGGCGGCGCGTCACTTTAGCCACAGGTACCTCGTGCACTAACCTCTAGGTAACCAAATCTCTCCCTTTTAGTTTTGGCACTTCCAAATAGGTCCATCGCTTACACGACATACAAATCGAGTCCAACCTACACTGTTCTTTTTCAAAGCCCACGTCGCTAGTCCATCTTGATCGGGATATTCGTGGTGAGCCGCAGTGGTATGTGCGATGAGCTAGCAATGTTCACGCACTACAACCCTGGTGCTGGGCGCACTAGCGAAGCAGCAAAGTGTAGGATTTGAGTACATCATCAAAATAGTACCCTTAGCTGCGGTGTTCCAGAACGATATTGTGGCGCAGAGCTGAACTTGCAGCAGCGATGTTGTTGAGTTTTTGGGATGGCAAGTGCAGAATCGATATTCTGACATTTCGTTCTAGGTCTGTGGTGGGGATGTATAGGACCTTCAAAACAGCTCGAGAAGCCATGTTGTATCTTCTTGTGTATAGGTGGTTCAAGTTGACCCTCAGAGTTCTTTGTTAGTCATTACCCCTCGTTCAATCACCATTCGGTCAAGCCTTCACATCACTCCCCTCCTTGACCATGGGTATGACTCCTGTCAATCCGTTTGTCGACGTGGATGAGATATCGCCCGTTGATTCTTCATCTCTACCAAGCTCTTCTGCGGCAGACGCCGCGGTACATCCTGCACTGCGTTCGCCAAGAATCACCATTTCTGATCACAATGACCTACCACATCCTCGGCCTGCTTTCCTTTCGTATGGCTCATTCAGATCGGTCAACAGCTGGGACGATCAACCTCCGCCCTATCCATATGGTACACCCTCTTCTTCCACAACAAGTCTTCCTCAGTCCAGCAACGAATCGCTTCCTCTCCGCCAAGGCGTGCCGAAACGAGATCGACGAAATTTCGCTTTTCGCGGCTTCTCGGCCGTGAAGCGCAAGATTTTCAGCCATGTTCATCCGAGGACAATATGGCAGATGATCGATATCCGCGAGGTATTTTGGCCGTTCACTTGGAAGAAGTACATCATCCTCTTCATCGTGGCTGCGCTTGCTGTCGGAGTTGCGATATCGGATCACTACTTCGGCTGGATCAAGAAGTCCATGGAGATAACGCGCAGCAACATGTTACCAGTTCTCATCATAGTTATCGGTCTCGAACCAATCATGATTACTGTCATCCTACTGGTCGCTCGTGTACCACCTCTTCACCCTCCCGTCGGTCCGCCTGTCGAAAAAGCTGCTCTCGATGTCGAGCTGGATGTGGAGAAGGCCATCTGCATCGTCGAAGCTACACCAGAACATCGCACTGCACTCGTCATCCCATGTCACAATAGTGACCATGAAGCTACCAGTAAGGTACTCAAGAGCGCCTTCGTTCACTTCCGACCCCAAGACATCTTCGTCGTCGACAATGGCCGCACTAGGCACCCAGTCTCCCCCGAGTTCCGTAACTTCATTCGAAGCGAGCATGCCGACATCAACTACATTTGGTCGCCGATTGGTAGCAAGAATGCCGCACAACTGGTTGGTGCTATAGCGGCTAAAGACTACGACTGGATCATGACAGTCGACGATGACGTCTCTATCCCAGCGACCTTCCGTCCACCAATCGACAAGATGGATGACATAACGAAGGGGTGTGCCTTCCCTCTCAAAGCTGTTGATGCCAACGGTGACATGCCACTCTGCCTCGTGGCATGGCAAGACTGCGAGTACAAGATGAGCGGGCTCACCAAGCTTGCGGAGTCGTCCATCTGTGGCGTGTTGTACCCGCATGGTGCAGGCTGGTTCTGCGAAAGAGATACACTCATCGATCTCATCAGCAACTACCACTCCATCGACTTCATCGCAGAGGACGTCAATACGGGTCTTTCGATGCAGAAGATGAAGAAGCGCATCGCCTTTGACGCAACATGCGTGCTCGAGACCGAAGTTCCTACCACTGTCCTCGGGCCGGGTCTTAACTGGTGGAATCAACGATATCGTTCGTGGGAGATGGGCCGTCATGGTCGTCTCATCGCTTTCGCAGAACGGATGCTGCTTTCTCTCAACGGACAGACAACGCCATGGGGTATCTTCACTCAAAAGTTCATCCATCTGTACTCTATCGCTACCATTATTGTGGACTGGGTGCGCATTCCTGTCTTCGTCACGATGGGCGGCGACCCAAACTTCTGGCGACTTGGCCTTCCACTCATGCTCGCTGCTACTCTACCTATTTTGGCTTTCAAACATCTCAACGCGCGGAACCGACCTGATCTCCAACCCCGGTTCTGGGCTGCAATGACCTACCCTTTGTACAAACAACTTTACAGTCTTGTATCGATCTTCGGTGCTATCCGTGCTGTTATCTTCTACGTCGGAGGTCACAAGAAACCAAAGACCATCAACAAGATGATCAAGGATAATGATCCTAATGCCGTGTGGCTTGATCCTCGCTTCGAGAATAACCCAGCTTACCTCGCTGATGAGGCGGAGGCTCTTCTCGCTGCTGCGAAGGAAGACGGTAGCAAGAAGGTGCCTGCTTCCGTGTACATATCACCGGCTTCTCCGTAATGGGGCGCATATGGGAAGCGAAGCGCGAAGTAGACACTTACTCCATTGGGCGTTCCGGAGTATCTTTTGCTCACATTTCGATTGCATAGAACGATACCCTTCCCCTTTGTCAAACATGAGACACATTAGGAAAATGGCGAATTAATATATGAATGTGATCACGAATGTGTTCGTTGTGAAATGCAGGTCATTCTTTGTGACGATGAATAGAGTGTTGAAAACGCGATGCGCAGTATCGCGACGCGACTTTTCGAAAGCACAAGATCTAGTTCGGATGTGGGCTAGCGCTTACGCACAGACTGTCCTTGCTTCTGCTGCCCCTCTCTACTGCGCCATTGGTGCGTTATGAATGACGGAACTTCATCAAGAGACATCAGCCTTTTTCATGCCATCCCTAACGAGGTGAGACGCGTTCATCGCACATATTCACTTAGCTATCATTTGATCGCTCTTTGGTCACGTCTTACGACCGGTCGTCATCGGTGTCGCATAAGAAAGTGCCCCGATGGTCAACCCCGCTACTCCACCCAATGTGTCGCTCGGCAACCATTCTAGCTCCGAAGGGCTGAAGCTTACTTAGGTGCACGTTCCCTGGTGGTGCTCTGGTTGGTCCTACGGTTTGCTTGCTACCACCATATTGACTGGGTGTAGGCATCAGTTTCGATTACGCTATGTAGTTTGCCGCTTGAGGAAGTACGAAAGGGCTCAAGGGAAGCAGGCATCCGTTGCTGCGCGTCTGACCGGTCCGCCGGGCCTGAACTCCACTCCCGGTACTTATACAACGTTGTCCAAGCATAGTGAACGTTCTTCCTCACGATGCTCATGGTCATCACCTGCAACTTATCCTCACTACCTCTGGAGTTTGAAGCCGACATAACGAGATGGCTACCGAATCTAAGGACCCAAGCACATTTACGTTCCATCATGACGACCTAGGTCCCATGACCGGAGTCATTACACCAAGCAACGTGGTCCAATTCCGCGCAGTGCCATATGCTACTATACCGGCTCGATTCAAGCAGTCTGTTCTCGCTGAAACGCTCGCAGGCAAAGATGACTTCACAAAACATGGGTAGTAGCCTATCTTCATATCCAGGTCGGCTTCATAACCGATCTTCGTTGGTCAACTCTGACGATCACAGTTACGTATGTCCGCAAGTGTTCAGTGAAAACGTAGTGGGAGGTGGAAATTTCCCGGGCGAAAGCTTTCCAGCCGCATCCGACGAATTTCAATGTGCCATCCTCCAGCTTAACATACCGCTCTCGTATCTCAAAGATCAGCCGCCTTCGTCCAAGCTTCCCGTGCTAGTGTACATACATGGCGGTGGCTTCGTGCTCGGAAAGATCGATGAGCAGCACAGCACAGCCCTAATGGTTGAGCAATCGATTCTTGATGATCAGCCTGTCATCTCAGCAAGTATACAGTACCGGGTGGGAGCGCTCGGTTATCTGCACACCCCGGAATCTGGCAACGCGAATCTCGCTTTGAATGACCAGCGAAACGCGCTTCTTTGGATTCAGAAATTTGTCGCAGGATTTGGAGGAGACAGCAAGAGAGTTACTGTGTTTGGAGAGTCTGCTGGCTCCATATCAATATGTAGCCACATGCTGTCTGCACCTCCATCGTCTGGTCCACTCTTCCAGAGAGCCATCCTGTGTTCTGGTGTTCTTGGACCAACAACAGCACCGTTATCGCTGGAGAACGCAAGCAAGACTTACAAGGACTTCTTGAAAAGAGTGGGAATTGAAGAAGACGGAGAGGCCAGTCTTGATTTACTACGCAAAGTGGATGTGCAAAAGATCGTTGACGCAACTTCTGAGTATCGTGCGGATGGCGGCATGTGGCTGATCGTCCAAGATCCAGAATGGTTTGGCGATGCTGCTGGATCGGTAACCTGGGATCGCATTCCTGAGTTGCTCAGCAAGTGCGACTGGGTCAATGAAATTATTCTGGGAACTACAGGTTCTGAGGTAAGGGAACGATGCTTCCAGACGCGCTCGGCATCAGAGGCTTACTTATCATCCAGGGCATCACCCTCATGCAGCAAATAGTTCCCGTCAGCCCGGACGCATTCCTCAGTGGCATTGCAACTCAGTTAGGCGAGCAAAGCGCGGAGCTAGTCGGTAAGGTTTATGGCGTCGCTCCAAATACCGACCAGAACTTGTTCCTGACAGCGGGTGCGCGCTGGATGGGCGATGTTGTTTTCGATGGTGAGTTATAGATCGGTAACGTGGAGCATGCGTCGCTAATTCTCGTAGCGCCTACTCACCAGCTAGCACAATACCTTACCCAGCATACGAACAAGAAAGTTTACCGTTACGTTTTCGACGTCCGTAACCCCTTTCCTATTAGTCCCTTTTGGCAACAAGCGCATCATTGGGTCGATGTCTACTTCATGTTCAAGACGTACCAATTCCGCTACCCCACCCAAAGACTGAAGGATATCTCCACGCAACATGCGCAAAATTGGATCAGTTTCGCAAACGGAAGTACACCATGGAAGGAATACAAGTACACTGGTGACGGAGATGAAATCGTGATGGTGGCGGATGAGAGGGATGGCTGGGTAGAGAGGACCGTAGGACAGCATGAGAAACTGGTGGAAAACACGTGGCGGAGGTGCGAAGCATTGTACCAAAGCTGGGATAGCATGAGAGGCAAAGAGTTCTCACCATTCGATATCGATCCGATGAAGGTAAAGAAGGCAGCCTAAGTCACCAAGGTATCGTTCACTTCAACCAATCATTCTGAGTCATATCAGCGCTAGGCTTTGTTGTGCTTAGCGGTGGTCTCACTCCACCGAAGACCTTTCAAAACATCGTGTTCATGATCTTCTTGAGTGTATTGATACTTGCGCAAACCTGATACCTAGAATTCAGATCCCATAAGACTTCAGCATGAGCACCCAAGACACCCTAAGACCTTCTCGGCGATTCGCCCTTCTCACATCTCGTCTCATTCTTGTACCGACGCCATTGGCCATCTCAATACCATCTTATGTCAATCTGTACGCTGACCTCCATGCCAATGCCGCCTTCTGCAGCATGGGTTTCGGCAGTGCTTTCCCTGTTCAAACGCGAACTCAAGAACAGATGCAGGAAGTGATTGCCACGCGAGACATTGCGCGATCCTGGGACAAGAGAGCGATTGGCGATTTCGCAGTAGGCAGACGATCAAAGTTACAAATTGAGGATACAACAGGCCGGAAACTGGCGGTGGCGACCAATGCAGTAGTGGTCATCGATGAAAGTGACATGGACGGTGTCTGTCAGACGCTTGACGACATTGAGTGGCTGGGTTACGCGGGCGTCCGTGACGCTACTACAACCTCTCTTCCTTCACGCAATGCCTCGGATGCTCCGCTACCGCCATGGGAAGAGATGGTCGAACTGCGTTATGGCGTTGCACCATCGTGCTGGGGCCAAGGGGTAGCTCGCGAAGCTGCGGAAGCAGTCATGCAATGGGCAGCCACTGAAAGAAGCGTGAAAAGATTCATTGCTGAGACAGAAAAGGAAAATGCGAGAAGCGGAAGAGTGTTGGAGAAGATGGGGTTCAAGAAGAGTGGTACTGAGTATTGGAAGGATGAGGATGAGGTGGAGTGGGAGAGGGATGCCTCGAGTCTTTGGTAGCCGTTGATGTGTCATGTGCAAACTTCACAGATTCATCACATCTAAATGGTAGCCTGTGTACCTTCAGCTATGGATACTCTTGTGCAATCACCGACACGGAGCTTAGATGTCAGTTTATCGAATATGGAGAGTTGAACGCATTGAAGTGCCAACAGAGGATAGGATTATTGATATACTATCAGCAAAGTGCATTTTGAGACTTTGCGCTTTCATTTAGCATAGGCGTCAAGTTGGGTACCTTCAAGGCCGCTCGAACAAGAGCCGCATTAGACCAACAGCACTCCAAAGTAGTACTGGTATCCCTTGGCTATGTAGCAGATTTTGTACAACAATCTTGCGCATTCGCCGCATCGCCATCGTATAGTACACTCTTGTTCACTTCTTGAGTGCTCGGCGCAACATCCAGTCCAGGGTTCTTGTCAAAGAAGTTGACCGGCTTCAGCCCAACCACCATCTTCTCACATGGCATGACTGGCCAGTCCTCAATCCTTGGATTATGTGTTGACCCGAAAGTATGCCAGACCACGACATCCTCGTTCCTGACACTCGCTTGCTTTTTGTCTCCAGCTCTCTTTTCAATCGCACTCGCAATCCCATCACCACCCATCGACTGCATCGTGTATTTTCCTGCAGGGAACATCTCATCTTCGCGGTACTTTGTCACCCATACTGCATGCTGGCCGTACTCGGATCGGCGAGCGTGGAAAGATGAGGGATGCGCGAGAAGCATCTGGCTATACGAGGGAAGCAGCTTGAAGCCTACTGGCGTCTGTGTCATGGCGTTGGTCTCTGCTTCGTTGACGATCTTGAACACGCGATTCTTGGTCAGATCGAAGTCGAATCCACCTTCGCGCTCGATGTAATTGGTGCGAGTCTCATATCCGACGCCGAAAGGGTTGTGTACGTCTGGATCATCGATAGGCATCGCGTGCGACTCTTCGATTACGACGGAATTCTTTTGGCCGTCAATAGCAGGGTCAATTCGCAAGCAGAAAAGGTGTTGATGGTATGGTGCAAGCACGCCGGGTGCTACGATGGTACCAAAGGGCGGTTTGGGCTCACCGAGAGCGATGGGTGCGGTAGAGAGGATACCGGTTGCCCGAACTTCGTAGTTGATCGACGCATCTTGACCGAAATGGAAGGCGAAAATGTATTCGTAGTTGCTTACAGTGATGATCGTTTGCAATACAAGAATGCGCGAGCGTGTCACCACAGCATGCCCTGTGCGGAAATTTGTATGCTTCCAAAGTATCCCGTCGTCCTGTTCATGCAGGCAGACTACATTCGGCAGTTTCAGTGGGAGGCCGGAGGACGTATTGTGCCAACCGTCAAAGTACTTGATAGTGCCTGGTTCGTTATCAGTACTGCCGAAGCCCTGCATGATGCAACAAGACCTACCAAGGCAATCACAGCCCAGTCGCAGATTGTTCGCATTGATACCTGCACCATCGTTTCCCAAGTCAAACGCTCCTTTCCTTGGAAACGGAGCTCGTGGATCACCGTAAGGTACGAACATCTCTGCCAAAGATAGGCGATAAAATAGGCTTCGCCCGTCGTATCGAATGTCATGCAAAGTCAGACCCTCGCGATAATTAAATCCCACTCTAAACGTCCACTTCTCCCAGCTAACCCTATGGCCATTGATCTTGAATGATGGGCCTTCTGGCTGGACAACTTGGTACGGTTTTGTAGTCGTACGAGGACTGGATCGCAGATCGGGATGATACTCGCTCGCATCTGTGGCATGAATCTTCCGTCGGTCGAAAGAACGCATCTCGTTGTGAATCTGTTCATTGCTTGAAGTAGGTAGACGATAGATTTTGGTGACTTCCAGGTCTTCAGAAACTTCGGCGCAGACGTCGAGTGGGTAGGCGTAGTAGTTTGCGTCTGTGTGGGCTGTGAGTTGAAGATAAAACCAGCACTGCAATTCGAGTCAGCATTTTGGAGTTTTGAAATCGGAAGTTCGAGGCAATACCATTGATATGCGACGAGACATATCATTTGAACCGTCAGTAGCATAAGCCCATGGTTCGACAATCACAGATGCGCCTTCTGGTAGATTGAGCGTTTCAATTTCTGCCTGGACTTTCGGGTCGCGCAAGCACGCCTCTTCAACCTCTTTCGTATACGCTGCGTCAATGTACGAGTGCTTTCCTTCAAGGTGCTGTTTCCCGATGACATTATTACTGTCAATGGCAACCATGAGTTCGAATAGGTCATTTGCGCCATTCTTGCTTCTCACAAGGATCTCCACGCGAGCGCAACGACTGATCTTCGGTAGTGCTTGATCATGCCGATGCTCTGCTTCGATGTATGTGACGAGCTCGTCTTTTGGGGGTTCTCTCAAAGTGATGACCCTAAAGTTCAAAGCCAGACCTTCAAACGATGATTGAGCTGCGTTGACTACCTGTATTCATGTAAACATACGATCAGGAATGGTGTGTATAAATCATCAACCTTCGTTATCTCTTCCGGCGTAAGCGGGTCAAGCGGATGGGGCGTGGACGCCATAATCTCGTTTTACAAGGCTTCGGAGCGCAAACGTTCTCAGAACAGCAGCAACGGTTTTGTGTACTCTTTATCGCACAAATGGACGAAACAGAGATCCTTATATAAAGACCCCAAGTCTTGGTGGTCTCCGATAGGATGTTCCTTGTGATTGGCCAGGTGCGACCTCGGAAGTTTAGCGCGGAACGCTTCGCCTGCGCCTGCCTCCAAAGGTTCGTCTCGGACATCATCACCTCCAAAGGTAACAAGCATTCCCACAACGCCACACCTCCAAAGGTAACCCGGAGAGGGGTTGCGATACTTCATCTGCGCAATCATAATATGGTGAATATTATGACGTATGTTACGTAATTCGACCCCAATCTGCAATCATCAGTTTCGCTTCGCGATCGCTCAGCCGACCAGGAAAACGAGGCTACAAAATCGCAATTAGCATCGCAATCTAGTATTAGTGAAGCTGTATCCATCTCAGGATATGACGACCAGCAGTCTTCGAATCATGATATCGATACGATGACTATATACCTTTGTCTCTTCTACACATCGCAATTCACGGTGCTCAACGGCCCTGCAGCACCGGAATAGAGATTCTTAACGTCAAGCGCAAGGCTTCTCTTATCAGATGTTCCATCGACTAGGCCACCAGGCGATAGGAGAAAGAGAATATGTTTCAATCAGCTCCACGCGTAGTCAGTGGTAGCGAGCAAGCTTGGCTGACGTACACACAGCGCATGCGCAAAGCACAAATGCTCGTAGCAAAACAGTTCAGAGGCTGCTGGAGTGAATTTAGAATCGTTCGGACTCAGAATACCAGCCAATATTCTAGTGTCTGCACAGGTACTAGAACAGCCTTTGGTTGTATATGTACCAGCTCTTCGCTGAGTTGAAACCTTTTCGCACACCACTGTAACCACCACCCACTCTTATTTTCGTCCAGGAAAGAATATCAAGGTATTGCAGAACTGGTAAGTATTCAACAACGTTCCTCCCTAAGCTCTTTCTGATATGCATATCAGCTAGCATGTGGTCTTCAGATGACTCTGGCTCTGACTACGACTTCGGCGGCACCTGGAATGACTTCAAGGGCACCTGGAATGACTACAACTGTATCTGGGGTGATTATGGCTTTGGATACGACGACTATGACTACGGAGGGCCATTTCCACTAGACTTCCTTCCTTTCCGTAACCTTTGCGAGGCTGCGATTGGCTATCTCGATACCCAGAAAGAGTACTCTCTATATGATTCGACAATGATCGAGTTCATTGCCATTGCTGAAGCTGGTACCTCCGCTATGACCTGGGTGTATGAGCTAAAGTTCTACAAATTCCTCTATCTACCACCTGAGCTACGCTTCAATGTGTATACTCATTTGTTGAAGGCTGCGCACAGCTACCAGGAGCTAGCGAAACATTTGCACGTCGACCGGTTCAACAATCCATGTTGCACCTGGCGCTGGCCCAACGAACTCACCATTTGCGACCGGCATTCAGGAAACGAGCTACCCACGGCGGAGTATGCGCCCTGGCTCCCTGATCTCGCCTTCACAAACAAGCAGGTACTGGGAGAAGTCACCATATGCATGCTCTCGACAACGAAATGGTTCGACTTCAAGTACGAGGAACACAAGCCTTCCAAGATTGTCCGTTTGTTCACAGACTTCCCCTCCACTTTCCCCACGGTCATGGTCAACGGCGTGGCTACCACCGAAGCCTTTGCAGCTATCAAGTGTATCTATTTCCCACACGAGTGCAAGTATAACTAATTTCGTATCGGGCGTGTCGTAGACGAAAAGAATCCCGACGTCACACTCATGATAAAGTGCACAAACCTAGACACTATCGCGATGGTGTTCAACTTCCACCAGCTTATCAAGACTCCGTGAGCCCCACCACCGCGAGATCTGGAAGGCTTCCTGGACTTCTTCCATTTCGAGCCAATGCTTGAACACAGCAGCGTGAATAACGTGTATCTCGAGGGAGTCTATCCAAGGGAAAGGGAGGGACAAACCATGACCTGCTTATACGAGTTCGGCAAGTATCAAAATTCATTGATCAGTAACACATGAAAAGTCACTGTTGAAGATGAATACATACAGAGCTCTTAGTGTATTGTTTCTCGCTCTGGACGATCATGTGATCACCTCCACCTATGATACGGATTCCTTCCACAAATTCCTTTCAGAATTACCCAATAAATTAGACAACACGTGTATTTTAGCGAGTTGCGTTTTACGTTTCTACGCCCGCTTGGTGTTCTGAGATAACAGAGGAAGAGGGGAAAAAGCTAGCCAGTATGGGTAAGACCGATAACTGTCCCATCTGATTTCCCCTGCTCTTTCAATATTCGGGCAATGTTGTCGAACATGAATTGATGGAGGTTTCTAAAGCCTTAGGTCACACAATTGTTAGCTAGGCCCTGATAGAAGATATTTGGACTTACTAAAAGAATCGCCAAAGCAGGACCACGTCGACGACATAAGAAACGAATGATCACCAACTTGTCGCAGCTCCTCAAAGCTCCAGAAGCCAGCCAGAACTCCTCCTTCGCCGTTCAATCTCTTATAGTAAAATGGTGCATTTCCCATTTCCCATGTCATTCTTAGGCCTTCCTCATTATCATACAGCTCAAAGGTGGTCAAAACTTCCTTGATGACAATTGGATCAAGTGCCGATTCCCAATCAACTGCGAAGGTACGCGAAGACCCAAGGTCGAATCCTTTGCCTGTCGTGTTGGTAACATTCAACCCGAGGAAGGCTAAGTCACCAAAGGACGACGCAGCAATACCAGAAACGTCATCAACACTGGCAAGGAAGAATCCATATGAAGCAACCGCTGCGTAAGAGGTTCCCGGAGGGCACTGGCATGGTTGGATAGACGCACCGCAAGCAGCTAGAATGTCGCGTGTGATCGGAGAGTCGTTATGAGCGGAACGAGAGTACGCGACGGGCGCTAGCGCGAAGGCTAGGAGAGGAATGAAGGCTTTGTAAATCATGTTTGGCGAGAAATTTAAGCGCAGTAGTAGGCAGGTGATAGAGGTCTTCTGACACAGAGGGTAACAGTAGATTAGATAGTGAGTGAAAAGGCGTGAAGTTTAGAAAGCTCTTATATGTGTCGCAAGAGTAGTCTGTGTAATTGGCTAGAGTTACCCTGGCAATAGACTCCAGAAATGTCCTCGCTGTCGAGCTGTCATGTGCTAGTAGTTAGTTCCGTCTGACTAGACCTGACTATACATAAACGGGTCTTTTAATGATTGCTGACACTTGCATTAGAGCTACTTACCAAGCAAGTATCTGCAGACAAGTATAGAACCGTGATAAGCGACCAGCTTGATAGTCTACTCTTGATAACACTTTGCATTAGCTCGGAAGCTATTAACTAGAGTCGGTTAGCGCAGTTTCCAATCTACGGACGAAACAGGTCACTTACACGAGATGGCGAAGGTATAAGCCGCGTCTTGCATCGCACCCATGTTGCATTATTCTCACCAGTTATACTACAGTTCTCTGATCTCGATCTCCAAACCGCCATAGTTTCACGATACGCACAAGTACATAAGTCGCCCACCGGCCCTGGCGACCAGCGGCCTACAGCACTTCAAATCATCAAACTTGAGCATATGGAGAGAAAATTGATTAGGAAAAATATCTTGATCACAGGTTGCTTGTCAGGAATCGATCTGGAAACGGCGCGTGCCCTATTTGAAACAGGTGCCACACTATTCTTAACTGCGCGGTATGATTACAAGGCCGAAACCAACTTCTCTGCTCTCAATAAGTGCATTTGGAGCTGCTGATTTGGTGATCAAAGTGCGTGTTACGCAGGGAAGCGCGTTGCTAGGTGGGGCACGGCAATGTTGGTATCTTCTCTGGGATCCTATAAAAGCTAGTAGAGATGTAGCGGACAAAAGATTTAACTACAAGACCAGCGGCAGTGGAATACAAAGCAGTGGTTCTGGCAGTTGATGCAATCGATCTTACTTTATGACCAAGAAGCGCAGATCACAGGCCCTCCAAGCTGATCGATAGAACGACACTCATCTTGTGAGCTGATGATCTCTGACTGAGTGAGTTTACTACTATAGATAGATATATGGTTTGCAGGTCGCAAGCGTTGGAAAATCCCACTATATTTGCGGCAGCTTGGGCGACTGAAAATGAAGGACAGTGTGAAGGATAGTAAGAAACAGCACGACAACGCGCTAAACGAGGAGATGGTTCGGAAAGACTTCGGCGTGCATCGTCTGCTGCTCTGTGCCAAAAGGGAGGCTGCAATTATCAACAGCTGACATCTAATCTGCTCCGCTTACTGCACTCCTACTAACCTCAAGGCAACAGCATTGTTTTAGATCAAATGTAAACGCAATTCAAAGGACACCGCGCAGTGTCACACACCAACAGAATCAATGCCGAAATAAGCCAAGAAGATATCATGAGAGAAGGGAACCCGTTCAATAGTCCACAGCTAGTATCTGCCTCCCTCGTCGCAAATCTTATGAAATACCTCAGTCGTGTGCGCCCACATCTTTTCCTCGGCGCCCTCGGCCCGCATATTAGCCGCCCTCTTTGTGTCAGGCTGGGCCTCGCCGTTCCAGGATAGCTGGTAATGACCACTCCCTTCGACACCATCACCGCCGTTCACAACACCCTGTACTCCTTCGGCCTTTGCTCTGGGTGAATAGCGCGAGGCAGTCGCTTCAAATAAATGTCTCTCACCGCTTTCCTTCGTGCTCACTGAGAATGGCGACAGCAGAGCATAGACGGGCTTGAGCCATGGGTTGCGGCCACCGGAAGTCTCGACGATACCCGGCTGCTCGTGGATAAAGGAGGTGTTGGGCCATTGTTTCGCCAGATGCTCAATGGCAAAGTTGCCTAGGGCACTCCCATGGGTCGCGCAATTCTTAAGAGAGAATTTGTTCTTGAGTGAAGGGTCGGAGAAATCGAAGTCATTATTCTTTCCGAGCGCAGGATCGTACACGGACACGACGCGCGACAACGTCGCCTCAGGATCATCACTCTTGGCCGCTGCGTCCAGCAGAGGTGCTAGATTATGCATGAAACGCGCTCTCGCGTAATAGTGAAGGGCGAACTTGTGGTCTAGGCCCTCCTTGGTCTCGTTTCGGCCCTTGAAGGTCATATAGCCGATTGTCATGAACAACAGATTCACCTTCTGCTCCTTCGCCTGGATCTCCTTGCACGCCTCATCCACTTTGCGCAGCAGACTTACGTCTTGCTGTATAAAGTTGACCTTGCAGGATGAGTTGATGGCTTTGAGCTCATTGGTGATTTTGGCAGCTTCCGTGGCATTGCGGCCGATTAGGTAAATGTGGGGAGAGCGGGTGTTGCGTGCAAACTCTAAGGCAGTATAATGGCCGATGCCTGAGGTGCCACCGACGAAGATGGCGACGAGGTTGGGAGCGAAGGATGAGAGGGTCGCATTGTGGGCGCGGACGTCGCTGAGAGAGACCATGTCGGATGTCAGGCTCAGGGTTGATGTGCGGAAGGATTGGACGCGGGAATGGGTGTGAAATCGGTCTACTCTGCGTGTCCGGATGTTCGTGGGATGGCAAGCTGTAGACTGGCAATTTACAGGTTGGTAAGCTATAGAGGCTGGGAGCGTGGATAAGATTGCCCCTTTGTTTCGTATATGGGGAATGTAGGATATTGGTATGCTACGCTAGTCAGGCATGTTTATGCCCATCGTTTAGATTGCTAGAAAAAAGCTTATCAATAGTTTCGCTCTGATTATTCTGGTAATCCAGACGGAGTCAGAGAGACAGACGGATAAATGAACTGGCAATCATGCTGCAATGGCCGATAGCTTACATCGTCTAGATTACTAGATTGAGATTAGCATATAGCATCCCTGAGCGTCTTAGCGCGACCATGTTGGCCAATTAGATAGCACACGGATGATGCGTGTGCTCTTTGCCCGGCTAAGCTGCTGAACTACTACTGAGAAGGAGTTCTTCCTGACGGCCCGTCTCGTTAGTCAGTAGCTCTGTAAGCTACGTCTGTTACAATCACCAAGAAACAAGGCACAATGTTGGCAGATGATAACGTGGCTGGGGATAATGCTAATGATTGGAAGCTCAGCAGCATCTGTCGGCCTTGCCAAGCATCGACATCAGGAGACGAGGCCCGGCAGTCATGAGACTCCTATGGACCCAGGAAAACCCAGGATCTCAAAAACGAAGATAGAATAGAAAAGGAAGCTCTGCGTAACGTACATTATCGCTATATAGGACTGTGAAACCTATCAATGATATATATCTGTGTGCCTGACTCTCGTAATCTTCGCTGTAAATCAAGAATTTGCGCCGATGAGAACATACCACAACGTTACCGCGTCCTCATACCGTCGCTCTGGCCAGGCAATACGTTTCAATACGTTCTCCACATCACTCCAGCCCCATATATCTCGAGATCCTCCCCAAGCCGTTATCTCAGCAGCAACACTGTGATATAATTGTTCAACTAGACTCGAACCGCACAAATCGCACAAAGCTTTCCAGAACCTCTTTAACGTAAGTGCAGCTGAAAAAGCTATCCAGATCCACAGATCAGAGTTGAGTTGATGGAAAGGTTTTGTGAGGATGTTTGTATCACCACCCGTTAGCAAAAGATTGCAAAGGTGCGATGGGAGATCAATCTCAAGGGAGGGACCAAGCTTGCTCAGCCTGAGTACGCCGTACCAAAAGCAATATCGAGCTGCTGCGAATGTTCGCCATGTGCATCTCAGCTTGTCGGTCTCTCGGGTTTCACTGACAGAGTGATGCAAGCTGAAAAGTGATTCAGCGTGCAGGCGATTTGCGTTCAAAACGACTAGAGCAGCGTTCGCGGTCGACATTGGCCCTCCTTCTTGAATGTTCGACGTGCCAGTCGACGATCCAAGCACTGACACTAAAAATCTTAGTTCGTTGATAGGCTTGGCGATATCGACGATTTGATTGTTTTCAAGACTGGAACTGACGAAGAAATACGGCATCAGGCGTATGGATTCCACTACTCTGTCATGATCCTTAGTGCACGGTTGAGATAGTGGTAAAGATGGTCTGTTTGAGAATCCGCAGCTGTGATCAAGGCGAGAGGTCGCTTCGATGATGGCTTGCGCCCTATTTGTATGAGCAATTTAAAACACCCCAAAACGTTTTTGCTCTTACAGAATATTGTAACGAGTCACCAAATCGGATGTTTCGATGCTTTCTTGACTAGTCACAGCAGTAGAAAAGTATATCTGCTGCTGTCTGAACTCAAGAAGCCTCTTCAGGCCCGCAAGATGATGCTTGGCAGCCGTATCATGCCCAAGATAAGCCTAACCCCACCGAAAGTGTCAGCCAAAGCGTGTGAAGGACCTGTGCTGCTACCAACCTCAGTTAGAAGGAGGGTTCCAATCAGGGTTAAGCACTGGGTCTTCAATTGTGTCTTTGGGTGAGACAACCACGTATTAATGGTGCGCAAGCTTTCGAGCTTGTGATGTAAGTACACTGTTTCAAAGTCGCGTAATCCACCTGCATGGCCAGCAAAGAAAGCCGCAGAAATTAACATCAAGGCACGGCAGAATGCTGAATCCGTGTTTTTCGATGCTACGCTGAGAAAGGATCAGTTTGATGTTGTTGGTTGTCTAGAGGATTTGTCTGAAGTACTTTTCTTTCCACAAGCGTGTAGGAATGAAATGACCAACTGGTGCATTGGTCTGCATAACTGTGATTCCGTGTTAGTGTGTAGAGCTGCGTGTTATATCATAGACAAGCACCCTACAGAACTCGAGCACTTCCATAGATCGAAATGGCATGGCAATTGGAAGTGCATCAAAAGGATCCCCTCGAGCTCCGGAGATCTGAGGCGTGATCTGCCAAGGCGCTGCAAGACCCGGAACTTTTGCCTTACTACGTAGGCTCATCACTGACTGGCCTAATGGCGCATACACACATTTCTTGAATGCCCTCTCACAATTCAAGCTGTAATGTTAGTGTTATATACATGATACCCATATAGTGTATATTTACCAGTGTGGTCGCTGTTCCTCGCATCGTATATGTCGTCCTCTACATGTTAAACATCCTGTCCGACTTCGAGTGTGCTTCTGTCGTACCCTCAACAGTAGTTCTGGCCCCGCCATACGTTATGAAATAACTACGTCCACAACGAATCTGTGTAGAAAGTGTAGGGTTAAGGAAAACTGTTTAGGCAATCGAGAAGATAACTAATTGTAATTAGGTAATTAGATAGATAAAGCTGCTACTAAGCGCTTCGGTCTAAGATATACTAACTCTAATTGTCATAGATCGAACTCGAACCCACGCCCTTTGACTTATCACGTGATACGCTAGCTAAGCGGGAGGATCCATGCGAGGAACAAGGCTATGCGTCGTGATTGTGTGAATGGCCGGAAGACCGGACGAAGCTAGAGATGCTAATGGCGAAGGACTGGCGTGGCGTAAGCCGCGTTGGTGATGTGGTCATGAGTCGTGAGTCGTGTTAGAGATCCCGACATGTCGGAGATGATCCTTGTTGGTGCTGATACGGATCTTGATTGCAGCCGTTGGCGAAGGATGCCTGAAAGCACAGGCCAAGTCAGGTATCTTTCGCGCGGACCGCGTACTCATCGTCCAAATCTACCAAGTAACTACTTGTAGCGAAGCTAGAAGCCCACAAGGTTCGCTGTTGGCTAACAGTATGACACACGGCGATGCTACACTCCCTGGGTTACCTGCGGAGCTCGTCCAGGACATCGCTATCCACCTGCCCTGCTCTTCAATCTTGAGCCTCAGCCTTACTTCGAAACGACTTTTTGCGAAATGCTACAATCGTCATGTGTTCAAGCGTAAGGCTGCCAACGCTATTTACTACGAAAAGTACCACGATATGGCATCGCTAGATCTCGATGCTGTCGAAGTTGAAAATTGGGAACTTCAGACGTGCGACTCCGAGGCGAGCGAAGAAGGCAGTGAAGATGAAGAGTGGTGGACAGAGTTTCAAGAGGACATTTCTCCAGAAGACGATTGGGACTACGCAGACTACGTGACCGAGGAGCAGTATAGACTAGAGAAAGCACACGAACAGCGTATTGCGACATGGCCTGATCGTACAGTCTTCGACAGCTTATCTGCTGGTGACAGCGCTCGTGTAGCCTTTGCCGTGGAGAAAGCGCAGCAATGGTTCAACGTGCCCATGGATCAACAACCAAAAAATCGATCATGTGACTGGAGGAAAGGAGTCTTCGCTTTCTGGCTGCCTCATCTGTTCACAATCAGACACCCATCAGTCTTTGCCCTGAAGCCTGAGCATCTTCATTTTTTGCTTTGCGAACCCACCGAAAATGAGAATCCTGAGTGTATCAAGAATTCTTGTCTGATCGAGTATCTCAATTCGGCATATTGCATGGTAATGCTTATGTTATCCCGAGTTGAGAAAATGGCTCTAGTACCAGAGGAATTGCGGTATGCACTAGCCACCGAACCTTTTTTAGGTAGCGGTTGCTTCCGACTCGATTTCCCGGACGTACTAATGGACATGACGTGGGTTATGACTCCAAATAAAGTGCGTTTGGATTTCGAAGACAGGTATACCACAATCCTGTATATGGTTTTCAAAATTTTCACAGCACGGAGCCCTCGCGATGTTCCTCTGCCATTAGTCGACCGATTGCCACTAAGCACACTCATAAAGAACCCGATACCCTTTCGAACACCAGGAGTTGAGATGCACGACATCCGAATGACACCTCAGGAAACCATAAACTTCCTTGACGGCATCTGGGTAGGCTGGTATGCTACCCAGGTCAACGAATCCATTACCGCGAAGCTCTCAAGAACGCAAAGCATACTCATTACTGCTCGAGAGGCTATTCCCAGTGACCCACCAGATTGCATAGCAATCATAAAGGGTCAACACAATTCGGACAGTTTTGCAACGTCTCAATTCCATGGGATCGTGAATAAACAAGGGGACGTTAGCATCTCCTATGAGTATGCGACAGAGCGAAGTCTGTGGCCACATCATGATATGCGTAGAGTGGGGAGGGAGGACCGGTGTTATGGATATATTACACCATTCGGCATTGTTGGATGGCTTGATCCTGCTGATAGGGTTGAGCACTGTTTTCGGGAAATGAGTGACATATTCTGGATGTATAGAAAAGAGTGGAGCTATCGTGAAGAGTAATCTTCAGCCTAGAGTGTTTAGCCTAAGAGATGATGGAGGTTTTCTAAAGGAGCTATATGCCTTATTCTGGCCAAGAAGACGCTGTCTTCCTCGCTTAGCCATGCATCGACAGCCGATCGTGCCCATAGTTACACGCCAGGCAAAGACCTCTCCACTGAAGAAGACGGTCCATTCCTGACGGTTTATTCTTCTGCCTTCCTGTAGCGCTACATAACCAGAACCTCTACCGTATACAAGAGCCCCGTTCGCCTGAGCTACATGCAAGAGTATGGACGGTAAGCAGTCGTGGTTGTCGCGTATTCTTCGATGGCGTGGTTATGGTTCCATCTGTCACAAGTAACACAAAGGATTCTCTCCTTGAAGGGTTGGGGGGGGAAGGAGTAGAAGACCAACCACACCTCCAACAGCAGTTAGTGATCACTGCGGGACGCGAGGTGATTACATAACTAAGATAACATCCTGCTAAGACTTCTACAGAGTATGCTATACTAATCTTGATTAAGTAATTTAGACGGCACGTACCTGTGCTTCTACAGAGCACGCTATACTAATCCTAATTAGGTAATCTAGACGGCGCGCACCTGTGCTTCTACAGAGCATGCTATACTAATGCACAATTGCTAAGCAATCTAACTACCTCGCCGACTCTTCTAATCGGATTGCAAAAACAATTGGAGCAAGGCAAAGTCTAAGCTTACTTCTGGTAACCTACACGACGCCTATTACTACGCAACCCGAGAATAAAGCCGGGTTAGTAGTTCATCCAGAAGTATAAATCCAAAGCCTTTGTTATAACTGTTGTCATCACCAGCAGTACCATACCTTCCATTGAACGAAAACAAAATGTCGGACCCACTGACTCCTTACGCGGAGAAATATCTTCAGCCTAACGGACCCGGCGATGCGCGTCCAACCGCTTTCCAGGTGATTCGCGACAACAATCTTGTTGGGAAATGGACTGGCAGAGTTGTGCTTGTAACAGGAGGCACTTCTGGAATTGGTATCGAGACAGCGCGAGCGCTCTTCGCTACTAACGCCGATGTCTTTATTACAGCTCGCGACCTAAACAAAGCCAGCAGGGTTATTGAAGATATCCGCAAATCAACCAAAGGTGATGGTAGGCTCGAAGCGATCGAGATGGACATGGACAAGCTTGAGTCAGTGAAATCTGCTGCTCAAGCTTTTCTCGACAAGTCTAGCAAGTTAAACGTGCTTGTAAACAACGCAGGTTAGTAGGGATATGATAAAACACTTGGAAGTTTGAAACTCACCTATTCATTAGGCATTATGGGTCTTCCGAAACGTAGCACCACCGTTGATGGTTTCGAGCGACAGTTTGGCGTTAACCACCTCGCCCACTTTACCTTGACTGCCCTGCTTCTCCCCACCCTCCTTAAGAGCACATCACCCGCCTTCAACTCCCGCGTCGTTATGCTCTCCTCCTCCGGACACCGTTACTCCACCGTTAACCTCGCCGACCCCGGCCTCGCCCAGAATTATGACGCATGGACAAGCTATGGGCAGTCCAAGACCGCCAACCTGTGGATGGCCAATTACATTGATCGCACGTACGGTTCGCGTGGCGTTCATGCTCTTGCCGTGCACCCTGGCGCCATTATCACTCCGCTCTATGTGCATGTCCAGAGTGTACCGTCGGATATGCCGCATGATTGGCAGACCAATCCTGCGGCGCAGGCATCCATGCAGTCGTGCGAGCAGGGTGCTTCAACGTCGACATGGGCAGCAACCGCACCGGCGCTGGAGGGAACTGGGGGGAAATATTTGTGCAATTGCGGCATTGGTGGACCAGCGAAGAATTTGAGTTCGATTTTGGACCCAGGATATGCTCCACATGCATTTGACGAGGAAGGGGAGATTACGTTATGGAATTTGAGCAGTGAACTGGCCAATGTTAAGATCGAGATGTAGTGTCACGGCTCGTAGGGGATCTCGTCTATCAACAGTGTTAGAGCCTACACTACAGTATCTGTGCGTTTAATAAGCATAGTCGCTAGTTAAGTACTCTAATGAACCGTTTTGTAAGGGCTACGACAAGCGTATCCCGGACCTGGTAGAGTAAGAAACTCAAGTATGGGTGAGCTGTTAGACAGCGACTTGATGTCTTTTTCGTGTTACAAAATAGGTAGTCGTTTATACTAAGCGGAAATAACATTCTGTCGCGGCTTAACGACGTCATGCTCCGATCGCAAATAGGTCTTCAGCCTTCCGGGGGGTTGACGGTCCGGCACGGGACGCAGAAGAAGTGGCCGTACCTATTAAGGTGCTGAATTTCTAGTTCGGTACTGGAGGCCACAATAGTAAGTATGTCATGCAAAAACCACGTCACAAGCAGGCAAAGAGGAAGCAGAAGCCAATCGGCGCAGCGTTACGTTGGCATTTCTGAGCTCCCGGACAGACTCGCCTGCTGTGTAGAATGTCCAATGCAGACGCATGCTAGCCTGGCCCGTCCAAAGCGCGGATATATGCTAGCTAGTCTCTTAGTGGAAGCGTACTGTAGTAGTATCCGTCACTATATCCATTAGAGTCACCTGCTACTGCTTCAAGTGTGAGGTGAGAGTTGACAGGGGTAATCGACGCCATACTCATACGAAGTGGATGCAAGGCGGCTCACGAGCTCAGGCGAGAACAGGGAAGAGAATGGGACAGATTCAGACGCGATTCCCAAAGGAGACGCAGGATATTCCTTACGCAGTAGCCCGAGGGAGATAGGAGGAGTTGGGTAGTCTATGATAGTAGTGAAAAGAGGCGTGCACTGTTGTGCAAGAACAGAGCAGCGTAAGGAGTCTCCTAGGTAGATTGAAGCGTCTGAATCGTATACCCAGTAACCGGGTATGCAGGGAGAAAGGCCTATCTAAAGCGCCGAGCTCATAAACATGGAGGGAGAAAGAAGCTCGAAGTATAGGGTTCAGAAGGCTCATTAAGGGTTTCAGGAAGCGGGGTCGGGAAGTACGTGCTCATGTACACAGGAGGTGCGGAGTATTTGTAACGAGTGTTGGGCCAAAGCTTGTGGTAGACGAGGAATCAGCAGAGGCTGGGCAGAGATGATCCACAACACTATCATTGTACATAGGACTACTTTACTTCCTCTGGATACAGTTTTGATAGGAGTTTGGACGAATCCAGGTTGCTTCTTCATATCATGAACACTATGACAAGCTTGAATTTCAATGCTCTCGAGTCACTCCCATCATACCTGGATTTCCATGATCAGTTCCTTCACTCCACATGAAAGCTCGAGTTGTCCGTCGTGCAAGTCTTCACCGACAACAGCTGCTCCAGCTGGTAGTTGCAACGTAGCTGTCGTACCGCTGGGTATAGCGACAGTCATAACGACTTTCGTACCATTTAACGTCCATGCCACCTTGATCGGTCCATTAGGTGTCGGTACCCTCCCGTTAACTTCAGATTGGTTCAGGAACCCAATCATAGGAGTGATGACAACCATTTCGTACCCCGGAGAACTCGGTACCACACCAAGAAGGTATTCCGGCAGTACGTAGGTCGGAGCTGCACCCCATGGATGTGCTAAGCTAGTGAAAAGATCGATACCAGGCGAACCGTCGGGTTTTACGTATTCCCAGCTCGCTCCTGAGTAGTATTCGTTGTTCTTTACCATGCTACCCCACAGGTTTTCGAGTAGGTGCGTGATAGCAGACGTACTGTCCACCCCAAGATCACGACGTGCCTTGAAGAGAGCTTCCAATAAGAAGCCTGATGGATTGGGGGCAAGCTGATAGTCATCCGTCTCTAAGTCGCTTGAGATAGTCTTGTAACCTACCGCGAAGCGAAGCTCCTCAAGCTTAGCGATAGAGGACGCTGCTTGCGTTGCGTTTGCCGTCCCAGATAGAATTGCCCAAGCGACGCCAGTCAAGGAGAAATTGCCTCGATCGGTGGTAGAGAGTGAGTATGTTCCTAGCTGGTCGTTCCATAGCTCACGATTAAGGGCCTCGCGCAGTTTGCTTGCCGTTTGTGAGTAAGACGTTGAAGCTTCTTCATCTCCGACCGCAAGAGCAAGTGGCGCAATCTCGTTAAGCATATAAGCGAAGAGACCAGTCGTTGCAGTCCCGTTGGCTGGTCCAAGGAAGCTGAAAGGTGATGGTATCTCTAGGGAACCTCCAATGAGACCAGATGAAGGATCGATGAAAGCCAATCTCGCTGTGGCAAGTCTCTTGATCTGACTCCAGTAAGGCTTCAGGCCATCCGAGTCTCCAGTGTAACGGTAGTAATGACTTATCCCTGCCAAAAATAAGTCTTGGTAGTCTACTAGCCCAGCGTAGTTCCCAATATTTGCCTCTTTGTACTGGGGTCGGGATCCCAGGTTGGCAGAGATGGGGGTAAAGCCAGCATACGGGCCTTCATCCAGCTGGTAACTTAGCGCGTATTCGATGGTGCCCAAGAGGTAGTCAAATCGAGCAGACGAAGTTGATACGACCCGCACAGTGTGGTAGAAGTCTCCTGTCCAGACTAGGCGATCCCGCTTGGCACCGTCAAGGCAGACCGAGTGGTCGAGAGGCGCAACCTGATACTCGGCCAAGCAATCTTCGCTGGTAAGAGGATTAGAGTAAATGATCGTACCGTTTCTGGCGGTGACAGTCACATCTTTGTAGTACGTGATGTGATCCTGCATACTTCCGAAACCCCATGTGCCTTCGTATCGAGAGGGAGTGCCAAAATTTCCTGGGGCTGCCGGTGGTGGTAAAGGTACGAAGGCGATCTCCGTCCCATTCAGGCTTATCCGATAGCCCGTTTTCTCGATCGATGTGCTCACGTGATACCACACATTTTCCTCGATGGTTGTGTTAATAGTGAAGTACTGGTTTTCTGGCACAGGCAACGTGCTCTGATTCACTAAGCTCCACTCAGGGTTGAATGCCAAGGTATTTGGCGGTAGGAGAGTCAGGTTCGTGTTTGCGAAAGTATTCTGCTGAGGATATTCGGACGTAAGCACAAAGTACGGCCCAAGCGGCTGCAGCGCACTTGCTACCCGCCAGCCGGCGCCGCCGCGAGCGATCTTCACATCGAAGTCGAGTGTGTAATTGGCTGCTTCAACCCCCAGCGATGACTGTGCGCTTGTTTGGCCTCGAACGAGAGCTCCGTCTTTCGTGATTTCCCATGTAGACGGTGCGTTACCGGCATCTACGCATGCCACCTGTGCGACACGGCCTCCGAGGTCGAAGACGCGGTTGTAAGTATCGTCCGATGTCTTCAAGTGCCCTGGCAGCGTATTGACGTCTAGGTTTGAGCTCGTTGCGCGGAATCCCAGATGATCGATAGTGACAGAGCCGTTTGTGATCAATCGTGCGGTCTGCCATCGCTGTCCTCCTTGGACGAAAAAACTCTCAATGTATCCTGTCTCCGTGATATTAAAAGTTTCGACACGGAAAGTGTTTGACAGTCCGTTCGAGAATGTCCAAGGCCCGTCCGAGAATGGTTCTTCAACTCCTCGGTATTCTTCGCTGTACTTTGCTTCGATCTGTACTGTTCCAGAAATTGCAGAAACGCGGAAGAAGGGAAAACCGGCTACTTCGGTACCGTAGTCGAGTGTAACGAGCGGGTTTGAGGGCGATAGTGTCAGGCTCGTATTTGCCCACGGCCTCAAGCCAGATGATGAGGGCGCAGATTGCTGTAGGATTGACTTGGGTACAATCGAGCCATAGTTGACAAAGCTATCATGGTGAGTAAATCGTCTTTGAAAGGTGTCTACGGTAGCTTACGCAGTGGCTGATGGGTTGATGAAGACTGCGATAAATACAAGATGATGAAGGATCATCATGGCTGCTACCTAGATATCATCTGAGGCGATCTCACAGCCTTTTATTCTGCGATATAACTGGGCAGCCATGACTATAGCCGGCGGTCATCTGTACCTGCGATGCATTGAAACATTACGACAACTGCCACCCCAGATTCGAGCCTAGGGCGCAGGGCCGAGTAGCGGAATGTGGGGAAAAGGCTGTCGATTCGACTCCGGCGCTGGCTAGGTGATGCGCTCGGTACATATGTGACCGATTCGAACAAGCTTCGGTATGCATAACCGGGGAGTTTGAACATCAAGCTTAACGTTGTCAGAAGGCTAGGATATGTTTTGTACAGGATGTTACCCCGCAAAGTACGATGCCCCGCATAACATGTTTCCCGTTCGTACATTCATTGGATTACACGGCCCAATACGGGCAAGTTTCGGGTGAACAGCCGGTTAGCATGCGTATCTCGGTCTGCGTATTCTAGGTCGCGAAGGATACGCCAATGCATGGTCTGACAGCCAAGGCAGCATCTCTGACGACCTTTGCGCAGGCTGCGATAGGTTGTGAGAGAATCCGAGGTCCAAATCTTGGTTCAATCGATGGTCACGCCCGAAGTCAGGCCGGCGGAGCATTCGCAATGTCAATTCAACAATCAGACTTCGTTCCCTCTCAAGAAGTCCAAAGCGTCCTTTCGACCAGGTGCATTCGAACGTTGCCAGCGACCATTGAATACACGGCGAGCTGGACATATTGAGCGGATGCTGCAATTCTGTCGGCAACGTGTTGAGAGGCTGCGATAGGCTAGAGGCAGGCCGATGCGGCTCACGGCGGCCAAGTTTTGAATTTACTGACGTCCTCACACTGGACCAAATTTCGTGATACCAACGCAAAAACCAGGCAGAGTGGAGGCATTGCTAGATTAACGTATCATGTCCATGAACAGCGAAAAGCTATGGTCATAAACTGAACAGTCACGAACAAATTTGTTTTCCAGCCACGACGATGGCCCGCCACGGCGAGTATCGGCAATGCAGTGGATCTTCCCAGCCCCCGAAAAACTTTCACTCGCTCGCACATCCGTGCATTCCTGTCCCGTGCACAGCATCTGCTTGGGTATATAAACCCATCGTCCCTCGTCCTCCTTTCTGCTCATCATGTCGATCATACTTCATAGAATCATTTCTAATAGTATGCATCCTCTTCTGAGTTACTCTAAGTAGCCACAGAATCTCCATCCTGGTTGATGACTATCAGCCTCGATGTCCCGGAGTGAGGCTTTATACGGGTGCTTCGGCGCGCGTGGCGATGATCTTCAGCCGACTGGTTTGCGACTTCGTGTTGCGCTGGAAGGCAGGACGTTGACGGCAATCTGACAGGCTACTTTTTTTTTCATTGATGCGACTGGCTTGCCAGTTGATTGAGGAAGAAATATTGAAAAAATGTTCACAAGTGAACCTCTGTGCTGACGGTCCAGGGCGAAAATCGCTGCTGCTAGCGCATCCGAGTAGTGCGTAGAGGTTGTCAGGGGGGCGAGAACATCGAACCGTAACCCGTTCACCGGCTCACAGCTCCGACCAAAGCCTGCTTCGAGCACAGCTTTCCTTATGCAAGCGCAACGCCCTGTTACAATTCCCATAGCAAGGTCTACAGAGCGACGGGCGCGAATGACAAGTAAGGTTATGGATGACTGACAGAAATCTGGTGCGCAAAATGCAAAAGCAACCCCCAACGCTCCAGCAATGCCATGCACTAGACTTCGAGAGGAAGGACTGTCAACATGCACCAGCAACGCGATAACAAACTCTCGTACTGGTGCGCGACATCAGTAATCCGTGTTCCACTGTAGGCTATCACTCCTTTTTACTTTCCCTTGAGCCTCCTGACGCTTTGCAACTTCCGTTTCCTCTGACTCTGCCATCCCACAATACAATGAAACGCAAAAGCCAACGACAAGAGATCTCCTGGTGGTCTCCTTCGCTTCCTTAGTACACGTAGAAGTTGATAGCCTCGTTGTCCGATGCACGGATCTTCTTGTTGTCTCTCATCAAGATAAGTCTCATCACCCACGCACACAGTACCACACCCGCCGAGAAGCCCACGCTCGCATACATGGCCTTGCCAAAGCGCGGTGCATCGCTGTCGGGCCACAGATACGGTGTGTAAACGAAGGAGAGGTTGCCCAATGTATTGACGATAGCCAACGCGACTGATTTCTTCTCGTCCGTCTGGCCGAGTACAGCGGCGGTCCAAGCTAGCACGATGTTGTTGACACCATACGTCGCTCCTACGAAGAGCACCATGGCGAAATACCGCGCGCCAATGTTCAAGGTGGCAGTTCCCACGATGAAGCCTACAATCGCGACGGCCTTGGAGAGCGTGATGTGCCAGGTGCGCTCATTGAACCGACCAGAAGACCAGGATACTGCTACCGACACAAAGGCTGAGATGAGATACGGAGGACAGGTCAGTACGAGGGTGATGGTCTGATTGAAACCTAATGTCTTTACGACTGTTGGTAGGAAATTCTTGAAGCCATTCGCTAAAATACGAAGTCAGTGTATGTCTCACATGCATCTCGTATAGGCACAACTTACCTGACAAGTGAAGGTTTTGCATGAGTGCAAAGACCCAGGTGCGGTAGTCGACTGCTGCCTCTCGGAGACCTTTCCAGACGTTGACCTTGTCTCGCTTCTGGGTCGTATCTTGTTCGATGCGGCTATGTGCTAGTTGTCGCTGGGCCGGAGTGAGCCACCGGGTTTGAAGGGGTGCGTTAGGTAGGAGGAAGAATGCCATCGCCGCGATGAGAACTGGAGGCAAGATCAGCTAGCGTGATAACAGACGGACTCGGTTTGAACGTACCTGTGAAGACTCCCTGAATGAGGAACAGCCATCTACAGATGTGGAGATGCGAAGTCAGTGTATGTCTCACATGCATTTCGTACAGTCATAACTTACCTCCATCCTTCCAAGCCCTTTTTCCCGTCCAGTCCGGCGAATATTCCAGCTGCGATAAGACCAGAGAAGGAACTCGCAAGCAAGTTGCCAGTATAGAACACCGACATCCTCGTTGCGGTCTCCTTACGTGTGTAAAAAGAGCTGATCATGTACAGTGCTCCCGGGTAGAACGGCGCCTCCGTCATTCCGAGTACAAGTCTGTCGACATGAGTACGTGACTTTCACATGTAATCAAGCTAATCATACCTGCATGCCAACATGCCGTGGTAGTCTTTCACGAGAACCATGAGTGTCGATACGATTGCCCATGCCATCGTCCAACCGGCCATGTAGTGGGAGGGCTTGACACGAGTCAAGAGCATATTTGAAGGTACCTGCCCCACGAGATAACTATGAAAGAGTCAAAAAGAACTTTAGTATGGCGGACGAACATCTTACCCGACGAAGAAGATGCTCACGCATGTGTTGTATTCTGTCCCCTGCAAATTGAGATCCTTGTCCATGCCGTTGATCTTCCCGTTGACAATGGCATTACGATCAAGGAAATTCATGAAGTACATGATCCAAAGCATTGGCTGTAGTTGTTAGCAACGAGCTTTTCATTTGCTCCAAGAATTAGCCTACCATCATATGGGTATCCAACTTCCTGACCAGAGATTTCTCTTCAGGGGTATACTCGGTAGCGGCTCCGAATTTGTCCAATGCAACGACATTTTGCGGTTTGTCTAGTGTATCGATGTGCTCGATCGAGACCTTGGACTTGATATCATTGGATGGAGTCGCCATAGTGGATAGCTGGAGCTTTGCGACCTCCAGAACTGATGATGCCTCACTATTCCCAGACCATAGCCAGCTTTGTAGTTCTTCTCTTCCCCAGACTCCACGAACTTGGCAAAGCAACTTGTTGCTGATCCAGGGATCGCTGCATGCCGAGATGCGGGGGAAGCCCCGTGCCCCATGGGGTTCGCATATCCGGCGTGCAAGAGAATGTGCTCGTGCGCTGGTCGAGCATATACGGACTCAACACACAAGATAGAGACGATAAGGAATAGAGAACTTTGGCTGTCCGAAGTAATCCCGACACGGTCGTCAGCAGTCGTTGGTGGGATATTTATTTGCTTGCAGCGGATCGACTTACCCCGCTACCCGACAAACTGAAACCACCCATGAAGGCTGAATCCTGCGGAAAACAATTCCTCGCGTGATGATGTGGGTGAGTAATCTGGCATCAACCCAGCGGACTTCTTATCCGACACGCTGATGTCACGTGCGATCGGAAATATCGGGACCATCGGAACCACGACGGCTCGAGACAGTATAGATACCATGGTACAAGAGCGTGCTGTTGTAAGTACCAGCTAACCATACATATCATCATGCCTGGCTTATTGACAAAAACAAAGGAGCATGCGATTACGCCGGCGCTTCGTCTCGCTGGAAGCGATGACGCAATCCATACCATCGACGAGCTGATCAAGCGACGAGCATCAGAACTCGGAGATTCTCCCCTGCTTTGCTTTCCGAGAGAAGGTCTCACTGACTATGAAGACCATTCAGCACGGGCGATTGACAGTTATGTTGATGCGGCAGTTGACGCGTTACAGCGGAGAGGGCTGAAGCCAGCGGTAGGTGGGACTTGAACCGGCTAAGAAGTCACATCTGACAGCGAGAACAGGATTCGTTACTTACTCAGGCACCAACCATTGCGATACTCGCTCCTTCTTCTCTGCAGTTTATCATCACTCTCCTTGGATTGAACAGGCTAGGCTACGCCGCTCTTCTTCTATCCCCGCGGCTCGCCAGTCCAGCAATATGTTCATTGCTTGAACAAGCCGAATGCGACACTATACTCACAATTGCCCAATTTCACGATGCTTTGGAGCAAGTGCGCAATGAGAGGAGCATCACTGTGCTCGAGACGCTCGAGCACCACGATTACTACAAGGTGGATGCACCGGTGTTCCATCGCACATACGATCCAGAACGCGAGAATCCCAAGAGAGCTGTCATCATCCATTCATCGGGATCAACAGGCCTACCAAAGCCCATCTATCTCACTCACAGAAGCTGCATCGCGACATTCGCGCTGAACCTCGATCGGAAAGCTTTGATGACGCAGCCGCTGTTCCACAGCTTCGGTTTTTACGAAACCTTCCGATCAATCTACTCCGGAAAGCCAATGTACTACGTCAACTACAACTACCCAATCACGAAGCAGAACCTCCTAGCCACTATTGAGCATGTAAAGCCGGATCTCTTATTCTGCGTACCCTATGTTCTGAAACTTCTCGCAGATTCGGATCAAGGGCTCAAAGCGCTAGCCGACATCGATCTGATCATGTACGGAGGCAGTGCTTGTCCTGACGATCTGGGCGACAATCTGGTGAAGCACGGCGTCAACGTCTGCGCAAACTACGGCGCGACCGAAACCGGGCGCGTCATGACATCTGTCCGACCACCAGGTGATAATGCTTGGAACTACCTTCGCATACTGCCCCAAGTCCAACAGTTTCTCTTGATGGACGAGGTCGCCCCAAACATATTCGAGTGCGTCGCTCTCGATGGTCTCAAGTCGAAGAGTACCATAAACTCAGACGACCCGCCTAACTCGTTCCGCACCCGAGATCTCTTTGCGAAACACCCTACAAAGCCTAATCACTGGAAGTACGTCTCACGTCTGGACGACCGTTTGACATTAGTCAACGGGGAGAAGGTACTTCCAATTCCAATCGAAGGCCGGATACGTCAAGAAGCGCTTGTCCAAGAAGCCATCGTTTTCGGAGACGGCAAGACAGTTCCAGGCATCTTGATCATCAAGGCCGACGCAGCGGCCGACATGAACGATGAGGAGTTCCTGCAGCACATCTGGCCTGCTGTTGAGGACGCGAACTCTCGCGCAGAAAGCTTTTCCCGCATTCCGCGAGATCTTATCGTCGTGCTGCCATCTGGAACAAAGTACGCTACCACAGACAAGAGCACATTCATCCGCGCCCAGGTTTACGAACAGTTCAAGCAACAGATCCAAGACGCATACGAGAAGTTTGAGAACGACACCAGCGGGTCCGTAGCACTGCCGCTTCCAGAACTCGAGGCGTATCTGTCTCGACGTTTTCGCGAAGAGCTTGGCGTGGAACCAGGCTCTTCCGAGTCAGACTTCTTCGCCTGCGGTATCGATAGCCTGCAGTGTCTGCGGATGTGGAGCTTGATCAAGAAGGAAATTGATTTGGGAGGCAAGCAAGCCGAAGTGGGACAGAACCTGCTGTATGAGACTGGAAACATTGCTGCGCTTGCTCGCTACCTGCATGGGCTGCGTACAGGCGAGACGGAAGATGCAAAAGGCCATGAACAGATTATGCATGACCTGATCGCAAAGTACTCGACTGCTGCACCTGCTACACGGTCAGTCTACAGGAGACATACCGTTGTTTTGACTGGTGTCACTGGAGGACTGGGTGCTCACTTGCTTGCACAACTTGTCGAGCATTACGCAGTCGAAGAGGTGTATGCTCTCGTCCGAGCATCTTCTGACATCGCTGCACTAAAGCGCACTTTGGATAGCTTATCTGCAAGAGGCCTTAGTCCCACAAATGATCAGCTAAAAAAGATCGTTGCACTTCCGGCCGACCTTAGTAAACCAGACTTCGGTCTAGGTAAGCAGAGGTTTCGTGAGATTAGTTCCAGGCTCACCCTGGTCATTCACAGCGCATGGGCGGTGAATTTCAACATCTCCGTACAGAGCTTCGAGAAAGAGCACATAGCCGCTGTACGGAACTTGCTAGATCTCTGTCAGAGTGATCCTGATGGGAGCAAAGCAAGCTTCTTCTTCTGCTCATCTGTCTCTTCCGCTGCTGCAACGCCGCGACCAGGAACAGTGCCAGAAGGTCCTGTCGCGAACATCTCACACGTCCAGAAGACGGGCTACGCGCGCTCAAAATATGTCGCTGAGCAAATCGTTCTCAACGCCGCGAAGTCCGCGAATCTAGTTGGTGCCGATGCTAGAGTGCTACGGATAGGCCAACTTGTCGGCGACTCCAAAGTCGGGCAATGGAACACTACTGAGGGTATACCGCTCATGATACAGACCGCAATTACGCTAGGCGCCCTTCCAACTCTTGACGAGGAGATGTCCTGGTTGCCTGTCGATTACGCAGCCCGCGTCATTCTCGATTGTTGCGACATCCACGACTTTACCTCACCTCCTTTCACGCCTTTCTCACCGGATAACGAATCCGATTTCGTTCCTGCTTCACCCTTGGATCCCGATCTCGTTCCTACTGCACCCTTGGATCCCGATGGCCGTCCTTTCCCACGCTTGCGTCCTGATTATTTCGCTCGTCGTCGCAGACACCCTGATGTCATCGAGATCCCCCCACCTGACCTCGTCTACCACGTTCTCAACCCCACCCGCTTCCACTGGACGCGCGACATGCTTCCTGCTCTCGCTGCTGCTGGCTTCAAATTTGAAACTCTGCCTACAGACCAGTGGATGGAGAGGCTGCGCAATTCGGAGCAAGATCCCAAGAAGAATCCTCCTATCAAGCTGCTCGATTGGTTCGAGAGCAAGTACGGGCATGGCTCGAGTACGAAGAACAAAGGTCTTCTAGTATATGAAACGGAAAAGACGAGCGCGAAGAGCGAGAGCATGAGGGCTATTCCGAGCGTGACGGATGTGGAGTATGTAAAGAAGGTCATTGAGAGGTTGCAGGAGGAGTGGGGAGCATAAAGGACAGGTTTACCGCGTATAGAAAGGGTCAGCTTAGAAAGCATAGTGTCGAGGAGCATCACAGCCCCAAATTGTCTTCATATGAGTCATCGCGCACCCTTTTGCTTAGGACCCTCAAGGGCAAAGGCAGGATAGCGAGATTTGTCAGTAAGGAATTATTCCATGGGCACTGTCTGCAGTCCTTCATGCTTGGTCTTGATGAAGTCGTCCCAAGCACTATTACAAGGCTTGCTCACATCGGTCGGCGTATTAAGGGTTACTAATTAGGCTTTAGCCTGTTACAATCAACCTTAAAATCGAATACCATATTATTGGATCTATCTATTCAAAATACATTGTATACATCTTCTACTGCATCCCTTTATGCCATGGTAAATAGAGACAAGAAACTCAAGTTGCTAGCCTCGTCCGCGTATCCTACTTTTATTCCACGTGTCTTTTCTTCTCCTTTTCCAACCACATCGACATCGGCCCGATTGGAACATCATCCCGTGCCATTAGTACCTCAACTATGCGTAGTCCCTTCCCATCAACGACTTGCTGATTGTGGAGAACATCTTCTAGTTCACCCCAGGTTCTTATCGTGGCCGTCTTAAAATTGTCTTTCCTTGCTCCAAAGAACTCAGGTGCCAGGAGATAGTTCCAGCGACCGATATCATTGTATTCCTCCGACAAGCCATGAATAGCACGCTCGATCGTGTAGCCGTCGTTGTTGATCAAGAATACGAGTACATCCAGATTCTGACGGATGATCGTGGCTAGCTCCTGAACGGTTACCTGGAAGCTCCCATCACCGATCATCAAAATCGTGCGGCCAAGAGCCTGCCTTTTTGCAGACGCTGCGAGATCTTTTTGGGCTAAGGCCACACCTTGCGAGGTTGGGAGCTGACCGCCGATAGAGTGCCAGGTAACCGGGAGTAACAACCTTGAAGAGGGTGGCAATGGGACGTCACGAAGCCCATAGCCTGCTGTGCCGACATCACCCAGGATGATGTCTCCTTTGCGGAACATGTTACCCAATACACGCCATATCCTATCCTGTGTAACAGGATGGCTCTTGGATAAAGATGAAAACGGAATCGTGCTCTCTTTGTGTATATCGGGGTATTGCTGGTATACGGAACGGGCTCTATCTTTGTTGATTCTTTCAGCCAAGCGAGCGATGACGTACTGACCGGGTGCGTCTTCGACAATGTTCCCAAAGATCTTGACATCGTTATCGTTGATAAAGATCGCACTTTCTGATTTGGGAACAGCGGAGAACATAAAGGTGTTGGCCGAGCTCAAATGAGGCCCAATGCAAATGACCAGATCAGATTCCTTGAAGACTTTCTGTGATGCTTCAGGGGCAAAGTCACCCTGGTAGATTCCGTGTACATTTGAGAGTGTTTCATCAATCAGACCCTTGGAGAAACAGGTTACCCAAGTTGGCCAGCCTGTTGAGGTGACGATCTGATTAGCCCCCTGAATGATTTTCGGGTTCCGTAGCTCGCCATCTACCAGGATGATAGGGCGCTTCGCCGAATACAGTTTGTCGAGGATAGTGCTAACAGCGTCCTCAGCCCGAGTTGTAGGTTCCGGAGTCTCGGCGAGAATGTCCACTTGCAACCTTTGACTAGCAATCTCAAGTGTACCCATGTCGACAGGGATCTGAAGGTGCACAGGTCTTTGGAGTGTGACACACTTGCGAAGAATTTGATCGATATCTTCTCCAGCAGTGCGTATGTCCCAAAGCTTTGTATGAGCAATGGTTGCGTAACTATGCATGGCTGCAAATCGGTCGAAGTCTCCATCGTTGAAGGTGTGATGAAGCTGAGCTCGTGACTTCTGCGCAGATCTGGCTGGGCATCCTACGATGTGTACCACTGCGCTACGTTCGACGTAGGCTCCTGCGACGGCATTTATAGCTGACAGCTCGCCTACACCAAATGTCGTGATAAGTACTCCGATTCCTTTGACACGCGCATAACCGTCAGCGGCATATCCACTGTTTAGTTCATTGGTGTTTCCGACCCAACGAAGCCCTGTAGGCTTGATATAGTCTAGGAGTGGGAGGTTGTAGTCGCCGGGGACGCCGTGAACCGAGTCAACTCCCAACTGGCTCAATCGACTGAAGAGGTACTCTGCGATAGTGAGAGTAGCTGACATTTCGACGCGAGGCGGAGAATAATCACAAAATGAGAGAAGAATGCACAAGCTGTAGGTAGCAGGACGAACTTGAATTTTTTACATGCCTTATATTGCTTGCAGTAGTGACAGATCAACGACTTCGGAGGTCATTAGTCGACTACGCCGACTCCGAACATTTACGGCGTAAAGTTCTCGCCACTCCCGATGATCGGTCTGCCCTTGTTTTAGGGACCCCTGTCGCACCACTTAAGCAATGCTGAAGTGGCGAATTTATTGAACAGTCTCATAAGCCGATGGTCTTAGGATTACGACGCGGCGATCATGACATCTCCTTATTGTCCAGAAGCCCACGAAGCGTTGACACTGCTGAGCAAGGAGATGAGGACTGGCAATGCGTTACACCAGAGGGCCAATCGACCCTTTCTCGGAAATGATGCCATTGTAGCCTTGCTAGTCTATCGTCTGCTAGTCTGTGTCTCACCAAAAGCATAGCTATGAACCTCTCGCTAACCCATTTTTTTTAGACAATACAAAGTCCTCAGGTACCATTATCCGGCAATACCTCGAGCACACTATCCAGATCAAAATCTCCATCAGCAATGCTCTGCCAGAAAGGATTCTGAAGATCGTGAAAGTAGTTAAACTGCCAAGGGTCCCAAGAATCACCGACGGATGCAGTTGAGCATAGATTACTAGCTTCTTCGGTTTCCTGCAGTGAATTACCTGTGATATGGTGATTATGCGTTTCTCGGCGATTGAGTACGATTTTGATCGCTTCAGTAGCTCCGGCTAGTAGAGCGTAATTTGCATCGTCAGAACTGACGAGGCTCCCTTGCTCAAGAACAGCCGTGAAAACCGATAAATCTCGTAGAACGTGGCTGGCATCGATCTGTGCTTCAGAAAATGAAAATGATGGTCGCAAAAGTGTTAGACAAAGCACGCCTGCGGCTGAAAGCCCATAGTACACAACCTGACCCAGCTGTAAGCACGGTGCCGCCACATCTTAGACCGAATGATTGAATGCGGGCATTGAGCATACCTTCCACACTAAAGACGTGCTTGAATCGATAATCCGATCCCTCAACAACAGGGCCTCGATTATAAGCCCTAACATCTCCGCTGAAATCTTGGCGATATCCGCGTTGGGCTCTGCTACCTTGCGAAGGAGGGCGAATTGGAGGAGGAAAACCACGTGAAGGTGGTTCAGCTTCACGGCCAGTAACAGATCAAGCTCCACGGGATCTCGATCATAGGCTTTAAAAGGGCCTTCCAATCGAAAATGCTGCGGAAGAGATGACCACTGCAAAGCAGCCACCTCTCGTATGGACCTCGGGAATAGTTAAGTGTTTGATTTGATCAGCGTACGAAATGGGCACATACCGAGATCTTCTGCTCGCAATCGCGTACTCACTTTCCTTGCGCAGTTCCAGACAATCTTCTTTCAGTGCTGCGCACATCGCTGCCCAGCGAGACTCTGCGTAGAAGTCCAACGAGTCGCTCTCACTCCACACATTAGAGAAATATTCCTCTAGGTTAATCGGTGGAAAGGAGCATGAGCTTTTAGAGAATCGAGAGGGTCGTCCTAGGAAGATGGAAACATTCTTGTCAGTCGAATACCAGTGTGCGAAAGCAGCCTGACGCGTGGGCCTTAGGATGTCTGGCATGGATGTATTGACAGGGACTTCTTGGTGATAGCCGAGCGCGGTTATGGAGCTTGCAACATCGCCTAGCTTTCTGTAACAACCAAAGTCTATATGTTGATCAGTCGTTGGCTAACTTATCGCAGAAGGTCGATGCAGCACGTACTTTGATCTCCGTCAACAATCGAGTGGAGTAGAAAGTTCTCGTGCTGAGAAACAAGTTGTAAGACATTCAAACAGTCCATAGAGAGTGATAAGTCAAGACTTTGGCATGCGTAGGCCATGGCTAACCTGAGAATACGTTGTCGTTCGCCACGCGCGCGCAAGGCCGGATGGAGGCAAGGTTTAGTCAAAGTAGCTCGACCTACAGCAATGAAGAATAGACTGACATTTTCCCATCGGGGGCTGTCAGAATCGAATGTCGTATTGTTGTGCTCTGATACTGCCATCAAGGTCGCGTCTAGCGGAAGGGATGAGTTGTGGAAAAGTTGTTTCGACAGGCTACTGGGGCTCCGAGGGTCTGTTCCGAGCTTTTCTACAGCTCGGATTGAAGATGCAGTAAAAGCGTGACCAAGAGACAGGTTCGCCCCAGTATCCAGCCATGCTTTGGCAAGTTTGATGCATAGTTGAAGCGGAAAGTCTTGGAGAAGACGTCTCATGGCATCCTCTCCTCCTGAGAGATCCGCAGTAGAGACGGACAGAGTTTGCAGATCAACAGGGTTGCAGCTCATCAGTCCCTGCTCTGGCAGCGAGGAGTTTTGACTGTATTCGATCTCTATTTGATTGAAGAGAGTCGTGTGGCTGGACGAACCCAGATACCCCGGATTAGGATATTGCCGAGGAATAGGTCGATCCATCGGCTTTGGCAATCGTGTGAATGATTCGATGCTTGCACCTTGCTGACCTTGGCTAGAAAGCATCAGCTTAAAATCGTTCTCAATACCTCGCAAATCACACAAGCACTTGTCGCCCAGTAGAAACTAGCCATCAGGACATGCACCGCAAGTTTTACGGTCAAATTCATTGTGTACACACCTGCTACTAAACGCTTGCACTTGGATTGTTGGTGACGGTGACCGAGGAGACGACGCCACTCTCGTAGCATTCTTCTTGAAAGGTCTCGGCCTGTAGGAGCAGGCGTCTTCCCGCTTGTTTTTGCAACACCGCGTACACGCCGGGCGCTGATGGTCGCAGGCAAGCTTCTTGACGCGGCAGGGTTCACATGCTGCAAGTCTCCTAGGCCTGCCTGGGATCTCTCGCATACTTGATCGCCTCGGGAAATTCATCGGAATGTCGTACTCGTTTACATGCCCGGCCGGAGTGATCAACTTTACGAAGTACCAGACATGCAGGTTATGCTCTGGCGCGGCCTCGGGGAGAAAATCAGGGCGGTCGGGCGGTGCAGATGATACTCCGAAAGGCACGCTAGTATCGGCGTAATGCAGTGGGGCTAGTGAGCGCTACTCCGGTGTTGTACTCGCTGAATCCCTCACACCCACTTTGTTAAAGCATTGAGCACACATACAAACTAGGTAGTTTGGCTTCGGAGTAGCACACAATCATGTAGATTCGAGAAGATATTTAATCTCTCATCTGCTCAGATGGCCGCAAAACAAACTTGATCCGTTCCCCCCCTCTGAAACTTACACTATGGCGTTCAAGAAAAACCAGTCTTCCCTACGCGCTTCGCGACTAGAAGAGCAGGCGTTATACAACCCGAAACCTATCCCCGAACCCACGGATGCATCTATTACCGATCTCAAGACAACCACCGATCGCATGATTACGGTCTTATGGACCGCCGACCACGGCTGGGCCAACCCCAAGCTGGTACCATATGGGCCTCTATCCTTGATGCCTACAGCAAGTGCGTTACAGTATGCGACCGAGTGTTTTGAGGGCATGAAGCTCTTTCGTGGCCATGATGGCCGTCTTCGCCTGTTCCGTCCTCTTTACAACTGTCAGAGAATGCTAGCCTCTGCTGAACGTATCTCGCTACCTGGATTCGAGCCAGAGGAGTTGCTAAAGCTGATTCATCGACTCTGTGCCTTGGAAGCGCCGAAGTGGCTGCCAAAGGACCGTGCCGGTACAGCCCTATACATCAGGCCAACACTGATTGGTACTGACAGCAGCCTGGGTTTCAAAGTTCCCGAGGAGGCTCAGCTTTGTATTTTCATGCTGTACTGGCCCTCACCTAGCTTGAAATCTGAATCTGTCCCATCGACCACCAGTCGTTGGATGAGACTCGTTACTAGTAGTGAATCCGCTGTCCGGTCATGGCCTGGCGGCACTGGAACAGCAAAGATTGGAGGCAATTACGGTCCAACACTCTTGGAGCACAACAAGGCAAGGTCTAGAGGATATGACCAAGTCTTATGGCTTTATGGCCCAGATCGCTGCGTCACAGAGGCTGGTTCAACCAACTTCTTCGTGCTCTGGAGGACGCCTAAAGGACAATTGGAGCTAGCCACAGCCCCCCTCGATGAACAGGGATTGATTCTCGCAGGGAACACACGTCAAACGATACTGGAGATGTTCAACACTTGTTTTTCGTCGCAAGAGTCGAGCTTGCTCGAGCCGTGCAACGTGGCGGAAAAGAAGATTTCGATTTCAGAGATTGAGCGCGCTGTTGGAGAGGATCGCGTCCTCGGCGCTTTCGCTGTAGGAACGGCAGCGTGGATCCAGGAAGTGAAGGAGATTGGCCACAACGGTCGGGATATTCGCATCAATGTGGGCAAGGCGCCCCATATCTCATTTGTACGCGAGCAACTTGCGGCGATATTGCTAGGAGAGATTGAAAGTCGTTGGGTTGAAGTCGTAGAAGAGGCTTAGTCCTAGTCTTACACTATCTACCCTATAGCTAAAGCGTTAGTCTAGATCAGCACGTTAAGTAGTATGGTAAATACCTTTGTTTTTACATGTACGTAAGTTGTGCTTGGTCTTTCTGTACCCACTGCAGCATACTATGGTAGCTGCGCGCGCAATGTCTAGATCTACTTTATACCTAGGCAATAACACAATATATCTAGAGGTAATAGAGCTATAACGCTTTTGAATTGATAGACGTGCTAGAATCAAAACGCAGGCACAACGCTATCAAGTTACACGATATTATATCATAGTAGAAGTGTGTCTGATGAGGTGAGTTCCTCCCTCTCTTGCTCTTTTCAAATCATATCTAATCAATCACTTACATTATGCACTCTAACACAGTCTTCTAATTTGTATACATCGTAGGGATCTAGAGCAGATCATTTGGCTCGAAAGAGATGTCTCTCTCGGATTGAAGCTGCTTAACCGCACTTATTGAGGGGGCACTGGGACCCACAACACTGTCTTCATGTAGACACTCTTACTACAAGGCCTATCCTTTGTGTATCCTTACTCTCACCGTCGCCCACGCAGTAAAACTCTGAATGCTAACTCAACAAAGACAAGAAGATAGAGAGTTGTTATCCACAAGTTGATCATTACTTATGTATATCATTATTACTTATCCAATTCGGCCATGTTATATATCCCCAGCCATACCCACGATATCCTTTAACCAAAGTTTCTCATCATCGCTCATGAAACCGGAATGTAAAGAAGAAGGAAAAAGGTAAAAACGCAACCAGGCGTCCCATCCATCCATCCATCCATCCGTCCTACATCCCCATTCATCCATCCATCAATCCATCAATCAATCCCTATTAATAACCCTCAAACTCCGCCTAGGATTCAACAACACACCCCTCGCGCCCCAAAAACTCGGCTCCTGACCATCCAACAATCCATCCACAACACTCCCTTCACTATTCCTCCTCCCCCACTGATCCCCCGCGCCTCCATAAGCAGTCGCATCACCGCTATTTCTTCTCCCAATGTCAAACGAGCCAGCAGCAGCGCCACCGTGACTGCTCCCACCACCCATGGTACCCGGCGGCCTCTCCGAACTGTTTTTACCCGAAGACGAAGTAAATGTGCCCCCTTGCTTCTCCGCGGCATTAGCCCGCGTTTGCACAGCGGCGGCATGAGACTTCCAGATTTGAACTTGGCGCCGGTAGATCCACGCGCAAAACGCAAAGTACGCAGCGATAACCGCAAAAACACCTGCAATCACACCAGCGACGATGGCACCAACGTTCGGTCCGCTGTCGCCTGATGAGCTGCCCTGAGGGTTCCCGTTGATGACGTTAGTAATCGTTGCGCCGTCCGGTCCAGTCATGGTGTACGTCTGCGGTTTGCCAGTTGCGAGCGGGCCTTGGGTGGGTGTCTGGACGGGAGCAGTAAGTGTTGCGCCGCCTGTTGCTGCGCCACCAATGACAGACTGAACGGCCTCGGGTACAGCATAACCATAAGAGCCCTCGATACCCGCATTGACGCCGAAACCACGTTGGTTGATTTGTTGCGCAAGAGGGTTACCAGTGCTACCTTTGTCCTTGGCGTCGTATCCCTGAAGCGCGTTCTTGCCCGTTACAGCAGTGAACTGGTTGCTCCACCCCAGACTGCTCATATTGAAGACGTAGATGCCAGGGGCGTCACAGCCGAGATCTGTGTTGTAGCCGCCGAGAACAATCATCTGAGCGTCCCAGACTTGGCAGAGGTGGCCGGCACGGGGAGGAGGGATGGAGGCTTTGTCGGTGCCTTGGTCGACCTCGATCCAGGAGAATGAGGGGACGGAGAGGATCCACATGTCATCGCGTTGGGTCTGGGTGCCTGGATCGCCAAGATCTTGGCCGGCGAACATGTAGATGTTGTATGATGAGCCGCTGGCAGCATAGTTAGTACGGATATCGAGTGAGCATGAAGCTTGGGTAGACTCACTCTGCAGCAGCTCCTACAACAGTACAAGGGTTGACTCGGTACTTGGGCGTCTTCCCGGAGGTACTTTGCTTGTACCAAGTCGATGTCGAGATATCGTAAACATCGATGGTATTCATTTGCGTCTGAATTCTGTTAGTATCTTGAAGTCATCTTGGCACAACCGAACCTACAAAAGTAGCATTATCACCGCCCGTCAACCCAATTAGGAGACCCTCGTCGCCAAAACCAGGGACGTAGACAAGAGCACTATCGGCGCGTTCAGGGAACGAGGCCGTGTTCTGCAATCCACCGTAGGTAATATTACGCCATGCGCCATCGGATCCAGCCGTCTTTCCATCGCCCAGCGACTCAACAGCATTGTTAGTCTGTCCTGGGAAAGTAAACTCCAGCAAGCTCTTCAAGTACACTCGCGGAGTCTGGATGCTCCAGCCCTCGGTCGTAAGAAAGTCCAAATGACCAGCAAAGTAGAAGCCCCTGCCCAGCGTAGGAACAGTGAGACCAGCACCTTCGGCAACGCGTTGTACAGATTGACCAGCGTCCTCCGCCTCCTGTCCAGCTGAGGTCTTCGGGTCGGCGTGTTCGATCCATTGCTTGCCGCCAATGTTGTACTCCCAAACAGAGTTGTTCGTGGGGTCGGCTTGCGGACTATCAGAGAACTGACCGCCGTATAGCCAGAGCGAATCGTGCGATGCCCAGAGTTGGCCGAGCGAGACGGCCGGTGGACCTTGTGGCTTGGGCAGACCGGTCAGAGCGGGAGAGCTGACTTGCCAGGATTCAGTGAGATCGAGCGTGAGGAAATCGTTGTCTGGGTCAAGTTAGCATTGCGCGCAAGCGCGATGATTTGCAATTCGCTACATACTCCATGTGTCCTGGGTCTGTTGGCCATCGGTGGTTCGGCGGAATCCGTACATGTATAGGGTTCCATTCACGACGGCGCTTTGTCCGCTCCACCGTCTACACGCATCAGTCGGGCTATCCTCTCGTCGCACGAGCATCGAGCGTTCAGAATTGGCCTGAATGGCGTGTGTTGGGATAGTGCCACCCCGTACTCCAATGTGTTTGAGGGGATTGAGTTGGATAATTGGTAGCATCAGTGCCAGTAAGACACTGAAGAGGCCGAATCGATATAGCCTGGTTGGCATAAACGATTGCGATGTGGTGATGTACGAGTCATTTGCATCGTCCTCGTCGCATGATTCCCAGTCATCTTCGTCGTCGGCCAACCTCTCTCCCTCTGCATTGAAGATACTGTTCGTACTCCTAAATCTGAGCATCTTCGCTGGCCGCAGCCGCCTCAAGCTCTTCCCATGTGTAGGTACAGGACTCCTCTCCTCTTGGATTCTGTTCTCGTCCACCAATCCAACCTCTGTGAATATCGACATGCGACGGCCCTCAGCACGTGTCGCAGGCTGTGCTCGAACCCGCTCCATGACTATCAAGTATTATCGCAAACTGCAACCCCGGTGGTGCAACGCCTATGGTCGCGTGCGCGCGTGCGTGCAAAGAGCGTAAAACGGGCCGTTCAAAAGCGAATACGAATCGTGTGTCGCAAATGCAAAAGGGTTTCCGCCGTCAGGTGAATGAGGTGCAAAGGGTTCGCGGCTAAATGGTCAAGATGACGTCGTGTTGTTCAGGAACAAGGTCCGCACCCTTGACCGATTCCGCCTCTTCACTCGTCGAGGGACGGGATAACAGCCGGGGACTATATGTGCCGACGGGCGTGAAAAGAAAATGGTTCGATTCGACAGCGACTGGTGACAAGGGATCCGATCGGTACGCAAGCGCAGGACGCTGATTTGCGTCGAAATCAAACAGCCGGAATGACAAGCAGGTGTTGTGTTAGCGAACGACGACGGCCACAGCGGAAATGGTTTGTAGCGAGCAGGGCAGTGCAGAAATGAATCAACAGAGCCAGATCAGAGATGATTAGAATAGTACGAGTAAGATGGAAGGGGAAAGGCAAACACTCCAAATGTGGAGTGCATACTGACGGCCTCGCTTCATCCCCTCGCCTCATTGAACCCGAGAGACGACGCTGACTGGCCCGCGCAGCCGTGGATAGACAAGGTGCGTCATGGAGGGCGCCGACAGGGTACGACTACGTGAGCAGGGTACACCAAGAACGGTAACGATCGATAATGCTGATAAAGGCGATTGGCTTTGCAACGTTCCAAGCCCGCGCCGCATTGGTCACGACACGGCGGTTTGGCAAGGAGAGGAGCAGTCGGACGAGTGATGGACTAGGGACCATTCCCTGCGCTAGGGCCCACTTGGCTTGGCCTATGTCAGGCGCTGCGGGCATGTCATCCTGGAGTAGACTTGGAAGGTCGTTGTGACGAGGCGGTCATGTTGTCCTCAGCCTATGATTTTTGTTTCCGCTGCCAGCTTTTCCACCTTCCTCTTTTCTACCTTTTGACTTTGTCTTGAACAATTCGCAACTTCCATGTCCAGCAGTAAAATGTGACTGGGTTCTGCCTTTCTCCTCCTCCGACACCCACTTTCAATCAAAGCAATAAATCACACCACCCACCCGTACGGCGCGAACAGCGTATATCCGTATTGTAGACCCTAGCTAATACGTTTACGGGTCCCCCGGAGATTTCGATAGCCTGTGCAGCGTGCAGTAGCTCTTTGCGCGTGTTTCGTGACCACTCTAGAATTCTAGTCCATGTTTAAATCTATTTTCGCGCATCCGTTGCGCGTGTGCCACGGCGCTGGAATGCACCGTACTCTTTTTTTTTTGCTCTCCCTTTCTTGTTGTCGACCGCCGTTGTGGTGCTGGGTCAACGGGCGTAAGCGCGTTGAGGGTGGCGGTGCAGCTGTTTCGTTTGTTCTAGATGTTTTCGGACCGCACTGCATCCGAATGTACAACAGCGACTTTGCCTTCGACTTTGCCCGTCGCATCGAGTGATGCAGGGTTTTCGCTAGGCATAGCCGTGACTGCGCTACGCATGCGAAGCGACTATCGTGTGGCTCGGGGTGGGTAATAATGGGGAAGGCGCGATCTCGGGTGCCAACCGAGTCAA